CCTAATGTAAACCCTAATGTAAACCCTAATGTAAAACCCTAATGTAAACCCTAAACCCTAATATATTTATTATATAAATAGTTAAATATCAAATTATTAAAATTTTCTAAGATCTGATATAGGTTTAATTGTAATCCCTGGTAGAGTATAGTTATATATAAGATATCCAGCCAGGCAATTATATCGGCTTTGTATAAAAGTTGTTTAAAGTATATAAAATAAGCAATAAGTAATTTATTATTTTTTTAGTATATTAATATAAATTATTAAATAGCTTTCTATTATTTGCACAGATTATAATATAATTATATAAAAAATTAAAAGATAATTTCTAAATCCTAGGATTATCTATCTTCTGCAAGCTGGCGGAGGTGTAGAACTAAAGCCTATTAAAACTATTCTAATTAATCCTAGATATAGTTAAAAATATCAGCTCTAAAAAGTCGGTTGGATTGTAGCTTTGCTTTAATAAAACAAAGCTATATATACAGTATATACAGCTTGCTGTTAAAGTAAAATAGATCAGACAGACAGATTTTAAGTACTAAATATACAATTTATTATATATAAAGCTGTTAGATCTTAGTATGAGATGTATTTAGATTAGTATATAGCTGCTGGATCTTAATATATTAATTTTAGAGTTCTTATTAAAGCTGCTGTACTAGCAGAATAAAAAGTATTAATTTAAATATTATAAAAAAAATTTTTGTATAATTAGGTAAAACAGGCAGGTTAGGACAAGACTAGTAAAACTCTTATTCTAAAGTATATAATAATTATTTAATTACTATTACTAATAGATAGGTGAACTATTTCTAATATTATAGAAGAAACTTAAATTAGTTCTAACCTAAGCATGCCGTACAAACAAGAAGGAATAGTTAGAGAATAAAAAGGTTACAGAGGTCCGGTGGGAAGATAAAGAGGCTGCAGTCACATGCAGCAAGTGTTGCGGGTCTGTCCCATAACAAAAATAGCTTTTAAAAAAATATATTATTTTTTAATAAAACTTTTTATATTTATTATACTGTATATCTTTATATCTTATAATATCTAGGAATTAAAAACTTAGAAACTAGTTCTATAAACTACTATTTTTATAAGACAGCTAATAGTGTTTTTAACTGCAGTAAGATCCTCTACTAAAGGATCTAATAATAAAAGTAATAAACTATTAGTAGTAGAAAAAGTTTCTAACTCTAAACTGCTATTAAAATATAATAATTACTGTAATATACTGTATTCTATAAGTAACTAAAAAAAATTAGAATTATTAAGAATAAATAAGTTAGTTAGATATAGAATAATAGCAGTCTATTTTTTTTAAGACTAATTCTTACTATTCTAAAGATATAGCAAGATTCTAGGAGTTAAATACTGGAGGGGGTTTTTAAGTTGTTGATATTACAACTCCTCTGTTAGGGATATATAGGCAAGCTGTTGGTGGTTCACCATACCCTTAGGGATTACCCATAACAATTTATATCTAAAGATATTTAAATACTAGAAAATAAAACTAATAAATAGGTCTAGTAATTGTTTAAAGTACTACAGAGTATTTTTTATATCTTATAGATTAAAATCTAAAGTATAAAGCTTTAAAAATAAAGTCCAAAACCTTTTTAATCTAAATAAAAAATATTATATAGTTAACTAAAAACAATATGTAATAATAGTATAAATAATTTAAGTAGTAATAAATAAGGTAATAGACCTTTTAAACTAAAAAACTAAATCTATTTCACAGATAAAAGAAGATTTTTTATATACTTTTTATAAGGACTAGAGGGTGAAATAGTGTAGTAAACGAATGCCTTATTGCGATAACCAAGGTGGTAGTATTATACCTTAAGGTGTTGTTGCTGATCTGCCTAACTTCGCAGGACAACTGCTGCCTTGGGTGGTTCCGCGACCGCCTCGCTTAGCCATCACATGGCTGATGCCTTAGGCCCTTTTTTTGTATACATTCCTTCGCGATTGATATCACGAAGGTTGGAAGGGCTCGCAAGGCCCTTACACTTTTTTTAGTACCTGAAAATATATGCTGGTTTACTATATAGAAGAGTAGATAAAAGAAGTAGAGCAGATAAAGCAGATAAAGCAGGGTGTGCTAGATCTGTACCGTGACATCAGGTGCCAACTGGTATCTAAAGCCAAACTCTCTATTAGGGCCTTGGTCCCATAACAAAAATACAGAGTAGCTGTATATAGTTTATTATATATTATGAATATGGAATTATCTATCTCATTTACAACACTACAGAACTGTACTAAACTATATTAGTATAATTTTTAATAACTTAAAACTACCCAGTAGTTTTTAGACTTAGGACTAACGACTGGTGCAGTGCGGTCTGGTGCGGTCTGGTCCTTAGTTTTTATAGTCTTTTCCAAGGCCTAGCCTTTACTCTGTTCTAGGTATATTTATAGCTGCTTGGGTGCCTAAGGCGCCCAAGCTGACTTATCCCACGGGCTACAGCACCCGTCATTAGTAGTTACAGCAAGTTTCAGCTTGATTAGTGGTTGTTGTGGTTCTCATCCTCATCCTAGGTCTATTTCCAGCCATCATCTCAAGGTTGGGTTGGAGCGACGGATCACTCGGAGACTAGTAGGTACAAATCACCGGCAAATTACGTTATTCCTGGTAAGATGCTGACCAAGCTTGTGGGGAACCGGCAGTAAGCGACCCGGAAGCCGTTCTAGCGGTATTCAAAGTCTCAACCAAAATACCCAACCACCTGTCAACGGCCGTGCGGCGTCAGCCGCAGGGGGATCAAACAAGTGGCAAGAATAACCGACAGCTGCAATGCGCTGATTGGCGCCATGGGCTTGGGCTTCAGCTCAGCCAGGGATGGTCGACGGGGCGGGGTGGCATGCATCGCTGTCACGTCTTGATTGCTTCCGCGCCCGGATTAGGGTTGCCGAAGGAGGGTTAAACTGGAATCGGACTCCACAAGTTCACACCTCTTGCTCTTGGTGGGATCTGTGTGATCAGGCCGAGGCTGCAGTATGACATGCAGCCACTCCTACGCAGTCTGCCGGTGCGACCGAGATGGCTGGCTGACCGCAGAGACACTGAGGGGAGGGGTCTGCTCTGGAGGAAAGTGGAACCGCTCTTGGGGCGTCTATCCTGCTGCACGCCTAGACCAGGCCATGGCCCTCTCATTGGAACGAGAGATACGAACGGTTCATGCCCAGCACCAGGGCTAGCTGAATGGCGGCCAGTCGACCGGCCACTAGGCCACTTACGTGTGCTTTTCCCATCGATATGGGCACCAATTCTCAGCTCCCCACTGCAAGTCACGACGACTTAACCACTCGCACTCACTGTACATGACTGCTAGGTTGCCACTCATCTCCGTCGGGCATAAAGACCACTGCAGCCCCTCCACATCATCACCGACGGATTTCTCAAGTTTTCAGCAATTATTCTCAAGTCGGTCTACCTCCCCTTGTCCCCTTATTCTCTGGAAATCGTCATTATTGGACGTGTCATCGTTATGGCTGGCAGGAACGCATCATATCTGTCCGATGCGCGGTACGTTTATGATTTCGTCGTAGCCACCACCCAGGCCAGCATCAATGCCGGTCTCTGGGAGTTTCTATCCCAGTCCACTCAACCGGTCGAGTACATCTCCTTCCTGTCCGATCCGAAAACCGGGCTTCCCACAATGGAAACTACACTGGAAGAGCTGCTGCACAAGACTGGCGGGGTCAACCCGTTCGATATCCCCTCCGACACCCCATACACCGACCCGCGGATCAAGTTCATCAACAAAGCCCGTTTCGCGGTTGGGATTAAGATTCAGATGGGCATCCCGCCGCTGTGCTCCCCTAGCGACTCCCCGCCCATTGTCAACCTCGGCAGCGATGCCAGCAAAGTGGTCCTGAATATGTACTGTGCACAGATTACCGTGATTCAGAACCATAAAGACCCGTATGATGACGACCTCAGCTCCTGGAACGTGTGGAGTCAGGCTCCTGCGGATCCCTGGATCATCCAAACCCAGGTGGATCTGGTGATGAAGGATCTTGATAAGGAACTAAATAGCTCCGAGTACCTTCGCAAAAATCACAAGGTGCGCGAGCAGCTGCGCAAGAAACTGGAGAACTTGTCCGGCACCGCTTTCAGCCTGCATCAGCTGTTGTTCGATCTGGACAACGCCGTCCTGCAGAACAACTATGCATTCGACCGAGTCAGCGACCCGGACGTCAAGTTCCTCCTGGAGACGAAATTCTTGCAGATATACGCGAAGAGCGCTTCCGAGCATGGCTGGCCGCTCGTTGCCATTACCGCAGTCTCGCAGGAGCGGGATGATTCTACCCTGCAGATGACGGCATTCGAGCGGACCGTGAATCCGGTCAAGGACAGCAGTGGCAGTGACCTGGCGAATCCTTCCCAGAGCGCGCAGTTGGCAACCACCCTGGACTATGTGTGTGTCGTCGACAACAAGCCTGTCCCGCCCATCTCCCGCTTGGGCTGGAACTGGGTATTGCCCCAGGATGTTGGGGACAGCAGCGGGGTCATTGCCATCAACCGTGATATCTTGACCCGCCACATCGCCACCAATCTCCACACGACGGCCAAGACATCGTGCTTTGCCATTGAAGTTCAGGAAGCCCGGCTTGAACGGCGCGATATTGACCGGCTAGATCTCGCATTCCCCGCTGGTAGTAGTCATGTCATCCACATGGAGAGCCAGGCAGATACCGAAGGCTACCAACCACATGATGAAGTAAATGAATACGAGGGTCCAGAGAAGATGAAGGTTGGAGCATATGTTGAAGTGCAGACCAAATACGCCTTGGATGTGTTTTTTGAGGCGTCCAGTGTCCGCGTGGTCCAACATTCTCAAGTCGACCTCAGCTGCAGCTTCGCGGCACCCCTCGATAACCCGCCAGTTGGGGGTGGACCGCGGAGCTTGTACTATATCGACAACACCTCCCAACTGAGAATGAAGGCGGTTGACAAGACCCTGACCGACACTTACAGCATCACCGTCGATCAGAAGGGCGGATTGCAACTGGTCAAAGCCAGCGAAAGCCTCGACGACCGGTCAGACAGCGAGCCTCAGCGACTGACGCCTGCCGTCCCTCGCGACAGTTCCCGGTGGTGGGCGACATGGGAGGAGATGACCGCCACCATGACCGCCACCATCTTCGAAGAAGTGCGCAACGACTTTAGCCAGCTGTCTACGGGTGATCTCCACGAGCTCGAAATCAGCCAGTTGCAAAGCTTCATCTTTCCCGGAGCGAGGGTCTTCACATACAAGGATCCCAGCTTCTCGGACCATCAAGATTTGGTCTGCAAGATTACATATCTTGACCCCGTCCAGGTTAGCCCGTCCCAACCGCCTCGGCAGTCCCAGCAGTCCCAGCAATCCGAGACAGGTCCAGTCGACCGCATCCCGGCTGGGGACTCTCACTGCTCCCCTCCTCCTCCGCCTGGTACAGTCGGGAAGCTGACGGCCTCCACAGAATTGATGCAGAACTACGTCCAAGGCGAAATCATCTCCCCGACTGGCAAGTTCGAGGCGTTACAGACAAGCAGCGGCCATGCTCTCCTCTTCGCGGTGGATACTCCCGGGGTATTTCATGTAATCAAAGAACAGAGCGGCACTATACAGACAGGATGGCAAATTCATGACCTCTCAACGGCGGGTATTGAGACCTACTTCCCTGGCCAGGCTTCTCATGCCACAGTGCATACTATCGACGTTGGCCAAAGTGCGGCGGACGGTAGCATTGGCCTGATGATGGCCGTAAATATTGATGACAATGATCATCTGTTCGTCTCGCTTGGTAACTCATGTGATGACACCTCGTGGGTGGCTCATCCTACCTGGACGATGCTGCCCTTCGATTCAGCCACAGAGGCATCTCAGAGGATTTCCATCACCGGGTCCCTGTTCGCCGAGACCCAGGACAGGAAACAATATTTAGTTGTCGATATCAACAGACCCCAGAGCACGGGTGACCCACATATCACCCGCTATCATATCGACCCTTCTCGAGCGAATGGGCATTACTGGGCCAAACACGACGTAGCTGTCGACATCGCCTCTGCCGAGTATCAGAGCACCGTTGGGCGTATCAGCGGGCAGCCTGTCGATGGAATCTACACAGCCGGGACCACAGGCGGACGGCCGCAATTTGTCTACGAACCGATCATAAACTACTACGGGGTGGGCCCGGTCACGCCGCATCGATTGCGGCTACCGGGAGATTCTCTTCCGTCGGCCATTGCCACAGCACATCGTGCCGGCACTGATGCATCAACGGACCTCTACGCGGTTGGCGAATCCACCTTGTACCGTTTCCCTGCCGATGAGCAGGGCGAGGACGATGAGCCTATTCCCCTGCTGACAAGTGATATCCTTCGTGGTACCGATACTCTTCGCGCCATGACGCATGACGGAGTCACCGTACTCTGGGGGCGGACTGCCAGCGACACCGTATACTACCTTAGCTGCGTAGAGGATCAGCTGAACAACCCTGCAGCGTGGCACACTCCCATACCGATTCTGTCCGGGGTTGAGCGCATCTCCACATATGTAAACCGGACGGACGGCGGCAATACCGTGTTCGCCTCGGGCAATGGAAGACTGCATAAGTTGATGCAGAACCCGGATCGTTTGACCGGTAATGGATGGCGTGAGCAGGAGATTGCAATCGCAGTCCCGCGCGATCGCGAACCCCTCAGTTTCATGTCGTACGTGACATGTGTCCAGGTCACCCAGCTTGAGAAGGAGCTGCCAGTGCAAAGTGCCATGGTCAACCTCTCCGCCAGCAGCCGCACCCCGGTGTATATCAACGGGCTTTACTATTCACTGTCTTCCACGCCGATTCAGGTCGCCACCGATCTGATGGGCTCATTGACTATCGTTGAAGCCACTGACAGCCTCACGGCTACCGCGTTGACGGTTTCGCTTGAGAATACGACGCTCACCATCAACCCCATGGACAAGTCGGTTGCAAAGCTGACTGCCTTGGATTCGGCAGAGAAACTACGAGGGGCCCGCTTCCCAAGTCACATCGTCGCTGGGGGCATAGACGGTTCGCCTGAGCTGATCCCCCTCATGGGGCCGTCTATCGGCGACGAAGATGTCGAAGCAGTGGCGACGAATATGACTCTCCTTGGAGAATGCTACGCGAAGATCTGGAAAAGGCCAGAGAAGCCGGATACTACTAGTCAGATTTCCATGTACCAAAAGGGAGCCACACCCTCAGGCGGTTTGCACACCTCGCGGTTCCGTCCTGTGTCCTTTGGGGTGATGGACGATTTAAAGCATCTCGGAAACGATGTCATCCATGGCAGACTCGGAAATATTCCCGGCGATATCCGCGATACGGTTGAGGACGGAGCGCACGAAATTGGCGCCTTGGCCGGCGATGTTGAGAAAGCACTGCAGGGACTCGGAGACATTATCAGCACGACGGCTGGTGACCTCTTCCAGGCGCTCAAGCACGCGGGCAAGTCGGTGGGTAGAATCGTGTATGACACAGCCTCGAAAGGCCTGCACATGGTCCTGAGGATCGGTGAGACGGTCTATCATGCTGCGCTGGACACATACCATGCTATAGTCAAGGGTTTGGAGTGGGTCTACAACAAGGCCAAGGCAGGTCTCAAGGAGCTATTCAGGTTGCTGCAAGCTTTGCTGGAATGGGGTGACATCAAGCGCACCAAGCATGTCTTGAAAAACATTACAAAGCTCTGGCTTCAGGATCAGGTGGACAGCATCCCTCGCATGCGGCAGAAGTTTGATAGTACGATTGCGGAGGTGGAAAAGAAGGCGAACGAGTGGGCCAACATCGGCGACTGGTCTTCAAGCCTCGGAGCAGCGACGACTACGAACGCGTTGTCCAGCAGTGCCACGGGCTTATCCAACGTCCTGACCCCGGACGCAAAGTATCTATCCGACAAGTATCGAGACAATGCCCACCAGCTGACGGTGGTAGGCGATCTGCCATCGGGAGACGGTGTTCAAAGCCTGCTTAACGAGCTGATCACAGCGGTCTCCAACGAGGGCCACGTACTGGAGGCAGTGGTTGGACAGCTCCAGAGTCTTGCCAGTCAGTTTTCTTCGTTGAGCGTTGAGCAGGTCCTCCAGCGCCTGGCTGTGATATTAGTCGACGGCACTCTATCCAGCTTGAAGGTGGTGGTCGATGCTCTGCTCAACGTGGTGGCCGTGATGGCCCAGGCAGCCCTGGACATCCTCGACACCAAGATCCACATCCCCGTTATCTCCACCATCCTCAACCAAGTCGGCATCAGTGATCTGTCCTTCCTCGACCTTTTCACCTACATCGGCGCTGTAGCTGTGACGGTGTCTTACAAGATCGCCGTCGGCCAACCCCCCTTCCCCAAGCACGACCGCTTCCAGCAACAGGTCAGCGTCGCAACAGCCTGGTCCGCCGTCGAAGACCTGTACCAGGACATGCAAGCCCTGCCCAGCAATGCCAAAAAGGGCATTTTCATGGGCTGCCACATGTTCTCCGGAGTCATGGTCTACGTGGGAAGCCTACAGAAGGCCTTTGACGCGGAGGGCCAAAAGGCCAATAAAGTCCTGGGGGTCATTGGGACGATTTTGGGGATGGCCAGTACGGCCACCACCGCCGCCGCCGACTCCCTCATCCCTATGGCCCCCATCGAGGCGGCCCCATTCAAGATCCTCTCCAAAATCACCACGGCAGCCAAGATCGGATGCAAGCTCGTCTTCGGCGGTCTGGGTCAGTGGACGTTTGGCAAAGTCGGGCTCAACAAACTCGTGATACAAGATGCTCGCGGCGCCGGCGCGATCCTGGATGCCGCACTGGTCCCGCATGCCGCACTGGTCACGATCTGGCATTTCTATGAGATCAGTCGGAGCCCAGATTCCATGGAACGATCGTCGGCAATCTCGAGCGAGGTGGGAAAGCTGGCGAACTATATCGCGCGCGTCGCGTATGCGGTCGCGGTGAGTGATGAAGAGGAGAGTAGTAAGCAGGTTGCTATTGTTGTCATGGCTGCTGCGAATGACGTTTATGCCGGCTTGCTGTTTGCTGAGGCTATGGTCGGGGGCAAGGCAATTGGCTGATCGGTTGTCTTATGTCTTGTCTGGTTTGGTCTTTTTGCTCTAGTTCTTCAACCCATCATAAATCCTCACGACCTCCTTGAGAAACTTCCAATGCACCTCGGTAATAACATGCGTCGACGTGGTGCCGTGTGACCCAAAGCCATAACCCAACAGGCGTCGGACCTCTGAAGAGAATGAACCACAGGCCCCAGAGATTTCCAAGCGTTCCATATATACTGTAGCCAATGTACCAACTCTACAGAGCTCACCGTCAGCTGCGTCAGAGGTTCAAGGCATGGTCCGATCGTTGTGAAGGAACGCAGGACTTGTTGTCTACTTTTGATCCCTGTCTTCACTGTTCCAATATACATTGAAATCATGTCTTAAAAAGGCGCAGTACCAGATTTTACCAGCCCTAACAGAGAGACATTGGATTCTAGAATCTTTTATCAAGAGAAGGACCTGAGTCGAGGGACGACATTAGTCTTGATAACAACGTGCCTGTGGAAGAAAACGGACTTCTTCCCTGTCCACATTCCCGGTATAACCATCGTGCTTAACCCCCCGGATATTATGATCTGCCACACTGAAACGGCTGAGCTGAGAAGCATTGTTATCATTCTGAGGTAGTAAGAATGTAGAAATCCCACCAACGGCGATGCTATGGTCGGTTACACCGTCCAGGTCTCGCGGACCTGGTCTGGAAATACACAAATGACCCCAGGGACTCAAAGAGCGGTGTGAAGTCACTGTTTCTATCATCATGTCAATCAATGAGAGGTCATATTCGATTCGTGTACTGTCGATCAAAAGTATATGTTGCAGTCGCAAGGCATTGCAACTTCGAGACTGTTCTTATGCATGCATCTGAAGCCCCGCGCCTTTCGGCGTCACCAATATAAATACACACCCCTTTCCCCTTCCTTTGCTCTGCGTGCCTCGTCTTATTCACTGCGTGCCTGGAGAAGCCACATACCCAGTTACTTCTGATCCCGACAGCCCTTCAATCACCATGGCCAACCATCACGGCACAATCCTAGATCTACGAGGACAACATGATGATCCACATGTGGACCTTCGCCCATCAATTGTTCGTGGCCTACAGCAAACACAGCCGGAGTTACCGTCTATCGTGATGTGGGATGAAGTCGGACTGAACTGTTACGAAGAGCTGTGCCACCATCCGGCCTACTACCTTCGGCGCGCGGAAGTTGAGATCCTGTCCCAGCATGCGACCAGCATCGCCCAGACAATCCCAGCTAACGCGATCGTCCTTGAACTGGGCTGTGGGTCGTTGACCAAAACCTGTCTGCTCCTGTCCGCACTCGCTGCCCAAGACAAACCGATCGCCTATTACGCTCTGGATCTGGTCGCCTCCACCCTCGAGGATAGTCTTCAAAGTCTCCGGACGGCGTTTCCGGCGGAGGGTCTGGTGCAGGTCTCGGGAGTGTTGGGTTCATATGAAGACTGTCTAGCTTGGATCCCATCGCTTTGCGACACCACGGTGGCGGGTGACCAGGGTTTTGTGGCCACTGCCGCCGCAGTTACCCCACCCTCCATTCACTTCCTCTGGATGGGCAATACAATGGGCAACATGGAGCTGACGGAGGCTGTCACATTCCTGACTTCCTGCCGGCGGGCGTGCTCCGACGTGCCATGTTCGTTCATTGTCGGAGTGGACGGGTGTCGCGACGAGGAGCGTCTGATGGCGGCGTATAACATGTCCCAGGGACCATTTCACGCGTTCATGTGCAACGGACTGGCGGCAGTTAATCGACTTCCTTGGGGGACAGTCTTTGAGCCCGGCCGCTGGCAGGTTCGGGGTGGCTTCGATCCGATAACGAAAATGATGCGATTCGGACACATGACGGTGCAGCCGGTGACGGTGCAACTGGACGGCTGTTCAATCACCTTCGGCCAAGGGACGTGGATTAAGCAGCTGGTCAGTGGCAAATGGACGACCGACGATGTCCGCGAAGTTGCAGAGAGCGCTGGGTTTGAGCTTTCCAGGTGCTGGGCGGATGAGACAGGCTCATACGGTGAGTGATGGGAAGGAGGGCTGCGTTCAGTTTCAACCCTCGCTAACAGCTTGCCTCTCGGTCCAGGTTTCTACCGTCTCGACGCCAGGGTAACCTGCTACCCAAGCAGTTAGTTGCTCATAGTAGTTGGGTCTCTATTATCTTTGCACGTCCACAATACAGGAGGATTTCAATTTGTTTACTGTTTCTTGCTAGTTGGATTAGTTTCAATCAACGAGCCCATTGCACCATGGTCATCAGGTCTTCCTGACATCGCTGCATCCACTGCCGTAGCTTATCCTTTCTCTGTATATTGCGATGGATGCTCATGTCCACATGGAGACAGTCTCCCCGGACACCGACCGAGACCTCGACAAGCCCAAACCGCTTAGCTGAGCCCACTATATCCCACTGAGACCCGTCCAGATCTTCCGTCGACCGGAATAGCGTGTCTGGGTGCTCGAGTTGGTGGTACAATCCGGCATAGTTCAGAATAATCTCCGGAACATCCTGGGTGCCAAAGGCCCGGCGGCCCTCTTCGTTGGTGAATCGCGAGGTGAAATACCCCCAGCCGCGGGAGGGGATCGCAGCATGGGCCCCTTGAACCCGAGCCAGAGCGGCTTTCAGATCGTCCGAGGGCTTCAGGGGCACAGGACACGGCCAGATGGTGGTGAACCAACCCACTGTGTGCGAGATATCCACCGAGGCATCCCACGGCTCACGACCATGACCCTCACAGTAGATCGTAGGGCAAGAGCGGCTGGAGAAGCTGCGTTGAAAGGAGGTCAGGAGTGCGGTGTGATACAGGTGCAAGGGTGCGGCCTCCTGCGCATACAGGGATTCGGTAGCTCCCGCATCCAGATGAAAGCTGAGCGTTTCAATCTGGTCCCAGGTATTTTGCTCCGGGGTGATACCCCAGAAGTCCTTCGGGGCCGGGGGGATGGGAGAGGGAAATGCGATGGCAGGGGAAAGATGGGTGCCCCCATATTCCGATTGCAGGCGCGTCCAAGTGGGAAAGGGGCAGGAGGCGCGCACAGAGAGACTACCGCTCCTGATATAGTCCTGGAGATCGGACAAGATGATGCGCCACGACACTAGATCCATCACCAGATGATGCGCCACGAGGAAGAGATACTGTCGATCTGAGGCGGTGGTTGTCACTAGGTCCGCGTGGAGCAGAGGACCAGAGAGAATATTGATGCCGCGTTGACAGCCACGGATGACCTCCTGGGCTTCAGGGATGGTCTCGACGGTGTGGGACTGCAAACGATAGGATTGCCGGACCTGATCGGTCACTGTCTGCGTCCACCTCCCATCGACCTCTTGTCGGAACCGGGCCCGCAGCATCGCATGCTGGGAAACCACCGCCCTCAATGCGGCATCCAGCTGATTCACCTCCACCGGCCGGGTGACTCGGAGGGTAAAACTCTGGTTGAAGTGGCTGAAGTCCTCTTTGATGGTGTCGAAAAAGAGCTGCTGGATTGGCGACGGGGGAAATTCGTTCTCCAGATCCTCGGTTTGGATGCTGTCTTGCCTGTCTCGAAGGAGCATCGACCGGTGCTGAGTGCGCTCGACCAGGTCAGCGAGCGTGTTTGATGCCACGACATCTCGCGCGGTAAAGCGTATCCCAGCCGCTCTGGCCTTGGCCGCGAGCTGCATCGCGCTGATCGAGTCCCCTCCGAGGTGAAAGAAGTTGTCGTTCAGGCCAATGGACTGCGGTGGCAGATTCAAGACCTGGGCGCACAGCGAGTGAATCGCGGTCTCCTCCACCGTTTTGGGTCCCCGTCTGTCGGAGGACAGCTGGCGCTGATCCACTGCCTCGGCATACTCTAGCCTCTGCTCTCTTGTCAAGCCAGACGCAACCTCCCGGAGACAGCGCCGGTTAATCTTTCCGGTGCCCGTCAATGGCACTTTCTGTAAGGGTAGGATCAGGGTGGGGACCATGTAAATTGGCAGTTCGCAGCGGATTCGGTTCAGAGCGCGGGCGGCTGTTGCCCGAAAGCTTGCCGTGGCAGGGGCCAGCCAGCTTTCCTGGCCGTCATCGATCATGTTTGGCAGCAAGACGAAGGCGACGAGCATAGCCTGCGTGGGCGAAATCGGAACTACCTCCGCAATGGACTCGCCGGTATTGGGGAAGCTTCGGTGCAGCTGGGCTTCAACTTCTTCAAGCTCTATCCGCTGGCCGCGCAGCTTGACTTGCGTATCGCGTCGACCGATGAAGCGGATCAGGCCATTCTCCCCATATTGCACCAAATCTCCCGTCCGATAGAGTCGGCCGACCTCTCCACGCGGTCGCCACTGCCGAAGCCAAGCCGGGGCATCAATGAAGCTTGCGCGCGTCAGAGCGGGATTGTTCAGATAGCCACGAGCGACGGCCGGACCCTCGACCACGAGCTCTCCCACGGCTCCTATGGCTGCCAGTCGATGCGGATTGTCAATCTCAGTAATCCAGGCCAGCCCTCCGAACATGTTGCCGACATCGCCGGGCTTCCAGAGGGCGGGATTCACCACCCCGGCGGTGCAAAAACACGTTTCAGCGGGGCCGTAGGCGTTGATGAAGACGGTCTTGGTCGCCCACACATCGACATGAGCCTGGGTCATAGGCTCCCCGCCGACGCACAGGGTCCGCAATTCTGGACAGTCTTCGGGACTGAACAGGCGCAGCGAGGACGGAGTGAAGCAAGCCCAGTTGATCCGATAGTCGCGCATGCAGCCCGCGAGGTCGGTGTTGCGCTGGGTCTCCGACGGAATGCAGACGCAGCCGCCGAAGATCAGGGTGACAACGGTCTCGTAAATGCTCAGGTCAAACGTGTAGGATGAGAAGTGCAGCACGCGACAGTCTGGCCGGTAGCCCATGGGTCCGTATTGCTCCTTCGCGCAGGTGGCCAAGTTGCGATGCTCGACAATGATGCCCTTAGGCTTTCCTGTGCTACCAGACGTAAAGACTATAAACGCCGGGTCGGAGGGCGTGGCTATTGGCCGCTCCGTTGCATAGGGCAAGCCTTGTGAGGCAATAGAGCTCTGATTAAATGTACCCGCACAAACATGCAGGAATTGACAGTTGAGCTCGTGGAGCATGGACTCGTGCTGCGGTGAAACAAGAACCAGAGTCGCCTTCGTCTCTTGAATAAGACCCTTGAGCCTTGTCGGTGGGTTGGTAGGATCCATGAGCACGCAGGTGCCCCCAGCCCGAAGGACTGCCAGAATTGCAATCACGGCCCACTTGGAGCGGTCCAGGCAGAGTGGTACCTTGGTGTTGAGGGTAACCCCTCGGGCAGCGAGAACCTGAGCAAAACTATCAGAGAGACGATTCAATTCCTGGTAGGTGAAATCTCCGTCCCAGGCCGAGATGGCTGGCGCATGGGGCTGAGTCGCGCACTGTTCAAGAACCAAATCATGCAAGCATCGCTCATGCGCCGCTGGAATCGTGCGGTTCCACATACGAAGGTCCTCAAGGTCTTCCGGACTCGTGAATTGCAGATCATCAAGCGTGGTATCTGGGGATACGTGCTGCAGCTGCTGAAGTAAGTAGGAAAATTGGTGCACGAGGCGACGCGTCTGGTCGTGACTCAGGACGCGCGGGTCAAAGTTGACTACGACATCCACAGCACTCTCAGCCTCACGGAGCGTGCAGACCAGTAAGAACGCATAGCTGGCAAAAGTGGCATTCCCACCTGCATCCAGACACCGTCCAGCGTCGGGAATGAGGATACCCTCTTGGATTGTGGCGGGTGCAGGCTGCACGACGAGATGAGATTGAAAGCGACATGCTGCTGCCGTTGCATCGTTGTAGGAACGGATTGCTTGCAGACCAGTCTGCTCAAACGGTATCATGTCTGCAGACTGTTGCTGGAGCTGCGTTAGACTCTGGATAATAGTCTGCTGGAAGTCAAGCTGAACTCGGAGCGGAACGGTGGCTATTGTTGGGCCTGCGATGCGGTCGATGTGCTCCACGGGTGCGCCACGCCCGTTGACAGTCACCCCGTACACCACGTCCTTGGAATGCGTATAGTGTGCCACCAGGAGAGCCCAGGCCAGCTTGATGATGGTCGACGTGGTATGAGCTCCTTGCTGGCGAATGTTCCCAACACGATCCTCTAGGACTGCCGCAGCATTGGGCACGAACCTCGCGGTAGGAGGTTCAGGAAAGATTGGAGCACTACAGTCCGCTAGAGTAGACTCCCAGAAGGCCTGGCTTGTGTCCTGTGGCTGGATATGTCGAATGTAAAGGGCAAACCCGACGGGGCGGGCACCGCGTCCACGGTAGACATCTTGCAGGTGGTCGAGGATGAGCGGCAAAGAAACCCCATCGTACAATGCATGGTGAAGAGTAATGACACAGTAGGATGAATTCATCGCAACTCGAGCCAAGGGTCCGCCTCCGCCCATCACATCCCGACTGTCCTTGGCAAGGTATGTATCTAGGTCATGGAGGTCTTGAATGTCAATGCCCCGGCGAAGCACGGCCTGGAGGAGACGTCCACCGCTGCTGGTCACGATCCTTGTACGCAAGATTGCATGATCTCGCACCGTGACTTGCCAGGCTGTCTGCAAACGGGCTATATCAGTGTCTGCCTTGAGCCGGAACACATGCTGGGAGACGTAAGAGCCAGGTGTTTGTGCGGATAGCGCCATCAACCCCTCCTGTAGTGGAGTACAAGGGTAAATATCCTCTACCTCGGCGGTTGACACGGAACACTGTTGTGCCACAGATGGCAGAATCCCCGACCTATTCTCCAACATGGAGAATGGGAGGTATGTACCCAAATCGTCGGCCGGGAGGCTTTTTCGGAGAACAGTGGCCTGGTCCATGAGTGTTGGATGTCGGAAGACATCGGCTACAGTCAGTGTATGTTCATATTTTCGGGCAGCCACGACGAGTCTCATGGCATGGAGCGAGTTGCCTCCCAATCCGAAGAAACTGTCATTCCGCTCCATGATGTGCGTGTCGAGCTGCAGCGTCTCGCTCCAGATTCCTCGGAGTAGTCTCTCCTTTTCTGACCATAGGGTTTCACTGGCCGGGCGTGAAGGATTTCTGCACGTTTCCCAGGGCCGAAGAGAGCTTGCTGACACCAGGCTGTGCAATACCTGTCGATCTACCTTCCCTGAGACCCCGAGAGGAAGGTTGCTAATTTGGAGGAAGATGGAAGGAATCATGTACCGAGGAAGGCTCTCGGCCAACTGCTGTTGGAGAAGTGCCGAACGGGACAGACAATTCGCGCTCGAAGGCAGTATACTGGGGCTGGTGGACGATGCCTTCTCCGCGACGAATGCTATCAACAATTCACCAGTCGATGCCGCAATAGTATCAACAGCCATGCAAGGGAAAGAGGCAGAGCACTTGTGGAGGGCACTTTCTACCTCCTCGGGGTAAATCCTCTGGCCGTTTATCTTCACCATGCGATCTTTCCGACCCACGTATTGCAATGAACCATCCGCTAAGGCCTGAACAAGATCTCCGGTCCGATACAGCCTCTGGTCTGCGCGTTGTTGGGCTGGGACGTGTGGTAGCCATGGTGGTGGAAGGCAGAACGGTGAATCGGTGTCCTTGTTACCTCCAATATATCCTCGCGCCACGATGGAGCCTTCAATAAGAAGCTCGCCGACTTGGCCTGGGGAGACCAATTGGTGATAGTTCTGGGGGTTTACCAGCCAGCCAACACAACCCATCGCCGTTCCGATAGTCCCTGGCTTTGTCTGCGATGTCACTGGAGACAAAAGATGTGTCCCAATTGCGCACTCGGCAGGCCCATAATGGTTGATCAGGCGCACATGCCGTGTCCAACGATCAATGTCCACTTGCTTCATAGGTTCCCCGGCAAGACACAGAGTCTGAAGTGTTGGAACCTCATGAGGGCTCAGCAAGCGCGCCACTGATGGCGTCAAATTGGCCCAAGTCACCTCCAGCTCGCGCATGGACTGCGACAATCGGCCGAGCCTATCCTCCTCGGACGGGATACATATACAGCCTCCCGCAATCAGAGTGACTAGTTGATCGGCGATACTGACATCGAAGGCATAGGAGGCAAATTGCAACACCCTCGAGTGCTTGTCAAGACCCGTGCGGGGAATGAAATGGTGGGCGGCGGTAGTGAAAGCGCCATGGTCGACGACAACCCCCTTGGGACAGCCGGTTGACCCCGATGTGAATACGATGTAGGCAGTGTCGGATGGTGACCTTGCCTCTTGAATTCTGGGAGTATCGATGGCCTTTTGCCATGTCGTGGGCTCATCAATCAGAATTGCGGTCTTCAGCTCCAGTGCATCCGCCATGTTCACCAGCTCTTTCAGAACCACCACCAGCGTTGCTCCAATTTGCTTACACAGCTCCCTCAACCGATCTATCGGACTCGTCGGTTCCAGCAAAACAAACGTTGCGTTAGCTTTGAGAATCCCCAGCATAGCAACCACAGTCCAGTGTGACTTATGAAGGCAAATGGGGATTACTTGATCGGGTATGACATTGCATCTTCCCACCAGGTGTCTAGCAAATTGGCTTGACAGGTTCTCAATGACGGCATAGCTCATTTGGATATTCCTCCCAGTGAGGACGGCACAATGTTCAGGTTGTTGTTGGCATCGTCGGCTTATCAGAGCATGGATGCACTCATTTTGAGGGCTGGGCTCCTCGGCCACCCCTACCTCATCTTTGACCACCACTCGCACTGGAGCAACTGCAACGTGCTTCGGGTGGTGCTGTAAATGGCGAACGAAGGACTCAGACATGATTGGATATTTAAATGTTGATCGCATAGGGTAGGTGGCTCACAGCACTCTCCGCACCTCAAATCGCCTTCAACTTATACCTTGACACCCTTGACGCATCGGAGCATTGACCGATGATCTCCAAAGCAACGTCCTACTGTGGAATAGCACGGCCCAGACCCAAGACCTCGTATCCATATGACACGTCAGCTCGTAGTGGGTGTACTGATCGGATATCCCTTGCAAGAGTTTAAAGTATAGTCCTGTCATCCGATCTGGCTCTGCGTATCAATTACAGCAGTCCGGTTTTACGAGTTAGTATAGCATTCCCCCTCCAGGAAGGCGTCTGGGAATGTGGCGTACTTGGCCAAACCTGACGAAGGGCTCGATCTTGCCCTAAACAGTAAATGCATCCATGAGCTCTGAGTCTCCCTACACCGCTATCATTGTCTGGGGCCGTTCTGGGCAATTGTGGTTAAATATGACCCTAACATTCAGCATTGACACCGAATTCCTGAACAACCAAAGCCGCTGTGCATCAATCACCCCAAGCTGCAATGACGTTCTTTGGACACTTAGATTGGACCTCACTCCGGCACGAGTCCGGGGAGAATCTGGGACGGGTCGGGGCTAGTCTGATCCTCATATTGGCTTTGGGGGTGACCTGGATGGCCTTGAGCCGTCTCTACTGGCATCCACTGCGCTGTATTCCCGGGCCCCGGCTGGCAGGCCTGACCGGGTGGTGGGAGTTCTATTTCGATGTCATCGAAAGCGGCACTTTGGTGCACAGATTGCCTCGTCTCCATCAGAAGTACAGTCGGTGGTACCTGGGTCCTCACACCATCATCCCTCTCGCTAACTGACCAGAATCGCCCGTAATCCGCATCTCACCCAATCATGTTCATGTCAATGACCCGGATTTCTACCATCGGTATGTTCATCTCACACTGCCACCCATGTTCCACTGACCGCGAGGGCAGGGTCTACCGCGCTGGGACGGAGTACCGCAAGGCGCCCGGCTTCTACAAAGCACTCGGGTATCCCAACTCTCTGATCTCAATCTTGGACCCCAAAAAGCATCGAGTCTTTCGAAATACCATTGCCCCCCTATTTTCACCGGCGGCTATTGACTTGTGCGCCCCTCGCATCCATCAGACGGTTCTGCGGGCTGCTGGTAGGCTCGCTGGCGGTCTTGAGACCGGTTCCCCGATTGAGATCCAGCGTCTCTTTCGGTGCCTTGCGGTGAGTGGTCTGGAATGTTCTTTGGCGCGGAGGGGGAGGCTGATGAAGAGTCAGATGGACGTGATCTACGCGACCTTGCTTGGACAGCAGGATAGATTTGTTGTCGAATACGAGCGTCCGCATGAGCTTATCACGAGTATCGATCAGTTCACAGATCGGATGTGGCTGGGTACGTGGCCGCAAGTCCTGCCTTGCCTGAAACTTAAAGCCTTGTCGGATTCCACTCACCGGACCAGTCAAACACTTTCCAATAGTCAATCGGATCGCCCTCAATCTCCCTGGTTATGCACGATTTCGTCAGGTGAGTCTCATTTTGGCACGGCTCAACAGACGACGCAGGCCAGCAGCTGACCACCGCCAGCAATGTGCGACTTGGGTCGAGGAAGTCAGGCAACGACGCCGCCAGGGCCAACTCACCACGCCGGGGGGGATCACCACGATTTTCGATGCCATGTTGCAGCCCAATGAAGAGAAGCACTATGATTCCAGAACCTCGGATGAGCTAATTGACGAGGCCGCCCTGTTCATCATCGCTGGCAGTGACACCTCCGCCTATACGCTCACCAGTGCTACCTACTATCTCCTCACCAACCCTGGCACTCTGACCTGCCTGCGTGAGGAGCTCGACGCCCACCTCGCCTTTGATCGTACCGCATGTGACTGGGAAGAAGTCCGGAAATTGCCCTATCTGGCAAGTATTAGCAACACCCATCCATCTCAAAGCTCCCTTCAATGCTGCCTGAAGCTGACCATCGTTTCTTGCCCCCCGGCATTAGATGGCGGTGATCAAGGAGACTCTCCGGCTCAGTACGCCAATCCCAGGCATCACTCCTCGAGTTGTTCCATCCGCCGGGGTTCAAGTCCAAGATTATTTCCTGCCGGGAGGAGTAAGCCAAGCCTGCCTGAAGTGTAAATCGGAGAAAGACTGGCGATCTAACCGAGCTAGACCATTGTCTCGATCACCCACCGGTCGATTCATGACAATGCTGATATTTTTTCCGAGCCAACCAAGTTCCAGCCTGAGCGCTGGCTGGGCGAGAAGGGTAAGGCACTCGATCGGTGGATGGTCGCGTTCAGCAAGGGTTCCCGGCAGTGTATTGGCAGCCCGTGAGTTTTCCCACTTCAGATCGGGAAAAGGCGATTATGCAGGTATGGAACTTTGACACTGGAGCTTTTACTTAATAGGTTAGCCTACCAGGAAGCCGCCTTGACGCTGGCACATATTTTTGGCCGATTTGAGCTACAGCTGCACGACACCGACGAATCCAACATGAACTGGGTGGATCATGCAGTCGCGGTCAACAGCAAACCGGTGCAAGTCCGGGTTCTGAAGGACCGCTGGGCTACCCCCGGAAGAAAGTGCCAACCAATTGGGTCCACCTAATGCTCTTCAGCCCTGTGCAGTGTGCCGAAAGTCGGGTGCATTAGATGACACGTTGGATCCGGGAGAAGATGGGATGTGGATGTGGTTGTTGTTGGGTATGTGGGGCACAGGCTCGTATTGTACTGTATTCGGTCGTACTGCATTGTACTGTACTGTACCTGGTTACGCACAGACCCTGCTTGATTCTTACCAAGTCTATCTTCACATACGGTACAGTACTGTCAACGGGAATTCGTTCAATTTACCTAGTACATTACAATATACCAATAAACAAGGCATGCCCCCCCCCCCTTGCGTGTTGAGGCGCAGCATAACCCTAGGGGGGACTGCTAATCTGCTACGGTATGGTAACTGTGTATTGGACTTTCCAGTCCTTGCCTTGCCGTCTCCCAAGGATCAGCCCCGGAAGAATCTTATTTGTTTATACGGAGTAGAACATATGATAATGTTACCCAGTAGTGACTGTCGAGCGCCTGCGACCTTGATCTCCCTGCGCGGAGGGCGAGTTGAAACAGTACAATATCTGTCCCTCCTCCGCTACCCCACCGGTCAAGATGCACCCATGAGAGAGTCCAGAGTGATGGACGCCCAAGAGAAGCCCGTGCTTGGGGATGTCACCAGTGATGAGGGTCAGTCTCATGCGACCCATACCCACCTTGGTGGATGGCGACTCGGCACCCTGGTATTAGGGCTGGGAATGGCCATTTTCCTTGTCGCGATTGACACAACCATTGTCTCGACCGCGATTCCCAGCATCTCCCAGGAATTTGGGTCTGTGGCCAGCGACGGCTGGTACGGGTCGGCCTTTTTCCTGACCAATGCGGTCACTCAGGCTCCCTGGGGCACCATCTACCAGTTCACATTCACGCGGCTCAAACCCAGCTTCCAAGGTGCGATGATCCTGTTCGAAGCGGGATCTCTCATCTGTGCGCTGGCCCACAATCCTGCCACGCTCACCGTGGGACGCGCGGTGGCGGGGATTGGGGCGGCGGGGGTCTCGTCGGGAGCCTACACCATCCTCGCCGTGACCGCGCCCCCGCATTGGCGCTCCGTTCTCACCGCCGTCTTCGGCATCAGCTATGCGGTCGCCAGCTTCGTCGGTCCCCTCATCGGTGGCGTCCTGACCTCCAGCGTCACCTGGCGGTGGTGTTTCTGGATCAACCTGCCCATCGGCGGGGTGACAATGGCTACGGTGGCCGTGGTCTGGCAGCAGACCCCGTCGCCACCCTCCGCCGCAGCAACAACATCATGGAAGACAATCGGCAAATTGATCGATCTCCCCGGAATAGTCCTCCTCACCGGGTCACTGACCTGCTATCTTCTCGCACTCGAATGGGGCGGGGTGACCAAGCCGTGGAACGACCAGGCCGTCATTGGAACCCTGGTCGGCAGCGGGATGTTAGGGCTTCTCTTCATCGCGCAGCAGTGGCAGGCCGGGGCGAATGCTGCCATTCTCCCCTTCCCACTCTTCCAACGCTATAGCCGCATGGCCCTGCACTGCGGGGTCATCTTCTTCCTCGCCGCCGCCTTTTTTATTCTCCTCTACAATTTCCCGCTGTATTTCCAGGCGGTGCGGGGGCGGTCCGCCACCTCGTCGGGCATCCGCACGGTGCCCCTCGTCCTGGGATGTGGGTTGTTCTCGGCGCTTTCCGGGGTGTACATGTCCCTTCGCTTTGGGGTGGGGTGGATCCCCCTCCTGCTGGGCGGGCTGCTCACCACGGCCGGCACGGGGGCTCTGTGGACGCTGAGTCCCTCCACCCCGGTGGCCACCTGGGCCGGGTTGCAGGTGCTGGTCGGGGCGGGCGTCGGCGTCGCGTGTCAGATCCCCATCATTCTCAACCAAGCGGTCGCCGATCCGGCGCACCTGTCATCCGTGACGGCGGTGACTCTGTTCTTTCAGCTGCTGGGTGGGTGTATCTTCCTGCAGCTCGCGCAGTGTTTGCTCACTAATCAGGTGGCGACTCACCTGTTACAAGGCGCTCGGAAGGTGGATTTGACTGCGGTGCTCGAGGCTGGGGCGGCGGGTCTGGCACGGAGATTTGACGGGGATACATTGCCGATTGTCATTGAGGCGTATATGCTGGGGATCAAAGCAACCGTGCTGCTAGCCACTGTTTTGGCGGGGCTTGCTACAATTCTGGCTGCTCTCACTTTGCGGATCGGGATTAGAGGCCAGGTCAAACGTCAGGTCGACTGCCAGGAGGGCGGGTGAATGTTTCTACCAAGCAAGCTAATTCAAGATACACTTGATGTGATGGAGTGCATAGTCACCTGCTACGTCCCAGAGAGTAATTTCATCAACAATGCCTTGAGAGTCTCTCGGTCCGCTCACACCATGTAGGAGATGCCGCGACGTGCGAAGAATCTGTCGTCGGCATACCTTTTCAAGAGGTATCATATTCTAGATAACAAAAGCAGAAGCCCCTACCTACCTCTCCTCCCTTCAGTCACATATTGAGTGCGGAACGGCGGCCCCTCCCAGAGCCTACCTCCCCTACCTCGATCATCTCCAGTGTCATCAAAGAAAGAAACCCCCAACGGCACAGGTAGCACCCGACATAGAATGCAGCAGGTGTTCTGTGACAGGGCCATATGCTAATCCATAAGTCCCATCTGTCGACCTCCTCAAGAACCCAATCCTCTTCTACTTCAATAGCGTCTTGAAATTCATCCTCGCCCACACTATCGCCCGGTGCATCAGCTCAGTCCAAGGGTGAACACATACCGCCAACATGGGAAAGCTTTGTAGCCCGGGTTGAGAAACGGACTGCCCTAGCAAGCAATTTGAAATGGGGCCGGCTTTAGGGTTGGTCCTCGAAGAACAAGGGTTGGTTGGCTGATTAAACTTAGCTTCAAGACCCCCTCTTTTCTGGGTGCAACATTCACCCCAGTGCACTCTTGTTGGGATTCCACATTTCACTTCCCCCTCCCTTTCAACTCTTGATTTATTGTGCAACCGAGCTTGAACAGCATCTTTCCGGGTTATCTCCTCAACAATACCTCTCTTGCGTCCCATTCCTCCTTGCTCTTATCAAGTCTTGGCACCTACCGAGATTGACCTCACTCTGCCTGCCAGCTGCCCCGCCCTTTACCAGCACCTCGACGCGAACTGGGATGATGCCTCCTTTGCTCTGTACACTCTAGTTGCTCTTAACCCGCAGGAGCTGGACCACCTGATCTCATCACTGAACCGCTAGTGGAAAGAGAGAATGACAGTAGATGCGCCGCCCCTGGTCCGCATCCTGCCTCTCTGCGACTACACCGACCGATCTCTGCGAGACGTTATGCAAGCCACATCATACTGAATAGGTGGATCGTCCCGCGCGATGATGAGGCTGCAGCGGGTGACGTTTGATGGTTATCAGCAGTGTTCGTTGTGGTGACCACTCATCGCTGGGAGCAGGACGGCTTGCTACTGGTATACGTGGAGACCGAAGAGGACGAGGCGGTAGGATGCCAAACGGATAAACTTTTCTTTCGCCTGACGGACGCATACATGAGACTGTCCTGGACTGCAAGACCAAGTTTGAAGCGGACTGAAAGGAAAGCGCTCATGGCAGTTTGGGAGTCAGTGATCACCATCTTGTTGGTCTTATTCTGCCCAGGGGAACGGATGTTGCGGTGGGATTCATTGGCCTACCTGGAATCATGAGCGTGCTTTCCGAAAATTATCAGTGTCGAGAGCGGGTACTGGAAACACTTTACGGCCTAAGGTGGCCATACTACTGCACTGTTACAAACTGATATAAAGTCTAAGTAAGATCCATGTCTTGCTAATAGGTACAAAATCGGGGATTCGCTCGAAACGAGTTTGGCTTGGTGCTTGCGACGTGAAAGCAGTGTCCTTTGATGCCAACCTGCTGTGCATCCTCTAGTCAAAAGCAGCGAGCTAGATTCCGATCAGCATCTGGCGAAGACTACGCCTAGGGGTGCAGCTCCCCTCTTCTTCCCTCTGAACCGGCTGTTAGGTAAGGGCGCCAGCCTTGCAAGGTCGAAGCCCACCCTTGCTCTCAGCTCAAAATCGTCACGTTGTCTATCGGGGTTGTATGCAACATGATTGTACCTCCTGTACGTATTTGCTGACTCAGTCGGTCTATGGCCTTGTATGGCGAGGTGGAAGGCTGTGTGTTTTAACAACCGAGTCTGGTAGATTTAGATTCGAATTTGGTTTCTGATCGATATTTTACAGGTCACGGAGATGGGTGAATCACCTGGTAAAGTCAGCCTAGTCATCATGTGATGTTCATCGAAGCTAGAGAGTAGTGAGGATGGCCAGGTTCGAATGCCGGACGTCGGGGCTCATGATCTTAAAGCTGGGAGGTCAGCAAAACGGTACAAGCTGTAATCTTCAATTCTAGTCGGTATTTCCACATTTCAGTCATCATGGCTCTGTCTTATCCACGCCACCATACGAGTACCATCGGATGATACTGTCTCTTTACTCTTCCAGACAAATCCTCTCATGCGAGGGAGAAGCTCCCACCACCCATACCAATACGCCCAGCCACTCGATAGAGCCAAGATGGCAACCGTTGGCATCAACCAGAATGGAAGGCTAGTGTCACTAGTGTGCTCACGGTTTAGGAAAGGCGACAACACAAGGAATATCTGCGTGGCCAGGAAGATAATAGCCACACTCGTCCACACACGAAACGTCCGTTGCGGACAGGAAAGACGCCTGCGGATGATGAAGAGCCCTACAACTACCGCCAGATATATGATCGCAAATGCGTACTGACCGACATCGAGGAGGAAGCTATATGCGTCTCCGAAGGGGACCAAGAGGATCATCACGGCGGAACCCATGAACAGTGCGAGAAAGGCACCCTTCGGAGTTGCCGATGAGGTGCTGCTTGCAAAGAAGGGAGCAAAAGGCAACACACCCTCTCGGGCCAGAGCTTGGATAACCCGCGACATGGAGAAGGAAGCGGTCAGAAGACTCCCAAAGGACGAGAGCGCGGCCACAAGGGCTGTACACCATTGCGCTGTTTCTCCCCAGACTTTCCCGACCAAGAGCGCAACCACAGTGACCCCTGTTTTGCTGAGTTCTTCCGGGGAGGCAGCGCTAAAGTAGGCCGCGTTGACTAGGATATACAGAATCCCAACCGAGCCCACACCGAGGACACTGGCAATTTTCAACGTGCGTCGTGGATTCTGAACCTCGTCGAGGACGTAGGCGGCATTCGACCATCCTTGATACGTGGCCAGAATCTTGAATAACGCGGTCGTATAGTCATAAATCCGAGTGGAAGAGCCAGCAAAGGGATGATCGAAGCTTGCGCCCGGCCGGTGGTCCCTGGGTTGGTCCGTTGCAACGACCCGTAAGCCGGTGATGATGATCAAGACCAGAACCACTATCTTGGCCGAGGCCAGAACATTCATTAGTCGCACCGCGAGAGTACTCGCCTTGATGTGCAAGACGGCGATCGTCGTCATCACGGCAATTGCCAGAAAGCGTTTCGTCCATTCACCTGCCGTGCCTTGTACTGCTAGCAGGAGATTCTCTGCTATCGCGATACTCCCAATGCCTGTAGCAGTCAGTCAACATCACAGTAAGCTATCTGAGAGAGCAGGAGACAGGAATACCAGTGAAGCCGAGACAAATCACATGGGTGGCATAAATGGTGGTTGCTAGCAAGGGTGGACGGGGATAGGCGGCGTTCAGATAGACTTTTTCCCCACCGCTGCGAGGAAGCAAGGAGGCCAGTTCCAGCCAAATCATCAGCCCACAGAGGGATAGCAGAAACCCGGCCGTCCAGAGTGCCAGAGCGGCTCCAGCGCTTCTCACACTGGCAGCGATGGCCGATGGAGTGGAGAAAATGGCCGTTCCGATCATTCGATTCGTACTGCTCGATTCAGTCAGCGGACGCCTTGCAGCCTTGCAGCCTTGTAGCCTTGTGGCCTTACATCAAGAAGGCGGTGGACCAGATCCCCAAATGGCGACGAGGGATCGTTTCCACCTCTGTGTGCTCTTCAAGCAATCCATCGGGATCAAGAAAGTCGCCTGATGGAAGAAGAAGAGCACTTTCGGGGTCGATGACCCCAGGACGGCTTGAACTATCCATGAGGCGAGGTGGGAGGTGGTAGAGGTTGGTAGCCTGAGGTGGAGGAGCGACCAGTGGTTGTGGGGATGAACGGAGGAGAAACAAACAGCCAACCTGGCAAAACCATGCAAACAGTGCAAGCAATGCAAACAGTGCAAATTGCATCCCACTGTCCAGACGGATCCAAGTGCAGCATGACTGGCTTATTGCCTGATGGCCTGGTTAGACAGGCCTGACAGAGGTTTATCCCCGTGTACTAATAAGTCACATCTCTGTATTATGGTCATGATGGTGGCCCATTTACACCATTGATGGCAGTCAGTACTACTAAGTACTTGTAAGTATGTGCCTCATCTCTACGTCATCATGCTTGGCACGCAGCACAAGCTATATATCTTCATGCATTCACACATTCAGCCACTCCGCTGTTCCGCCATGCCGCTATCCTCCGGACACAGCAGTTACTTTACCCAAGTCAGTCCTAGTCCACACCGAGAAGAGCGGAGAAATGTCAGACATTGTACGATACAATGTATGCAATCCGATCCCCTCGTACAATAAGTGATAGCTAAAAGTGCCCCAGATCCACCTCCCCGATCGTCTATTAGAGGAGATCAGAATTAAACTGCAATACGCTCGGCTAGATGATGGCATGGCGGAGGTGGAGTGGAATGACCTTGAGATAGGGCATGCCAACTTCAAGAAACTCGTGGAATACTGGCGCGATGACTACGACTGGCGCAAGTTCGAGGCCTATCTCAATAACTCCTTTCACCACTTTCAAACTCCCATCCCAGTAACTGGGTTTGAGGATATTAAGCTTCACTTTCTCCACCATCGATCCTCGAGACCCGGGGCTATACCATTGATCTTTGTGCATGGCTGGTGTGTTCAGCCTCTATGAGGGAAGCTACCGTCCCCAACTAACATACACCACATAGGCCTGGGTCCTTTCTGGAAGCGTGCAAGATCATTCCATTATTGACTGAGCCAAAGAATGACCAACAGGCATTTCATGTGGTGGCGCCTTCGCTGCCCGGGTACGGTTTCAGCGCTTACACGAAGAAGAGCGGGTTCGGTCTCGAGCAACACGCAGAATGTCTGGCCCGCTTGATGACTAAACTTGGATACGGCCAATATGTTTGCCAGGTACGCATTATGGAGTGATGGTTTCCTGGTATGGGAAGTGTCTGACGCATGAAGGGTGGGGATTGGGGCTCATCGATTGTGCGCTACATGGCACTGAACCACTCCGACGCAGTGCGGGCCATCCACATCAATATGTTGCTGGCCTTGCCCCCGGACGAGCACCGGTCGCCAGAAAAGTACGCCAGATACCGCCGGAATGAGTATAGCGAACAAGCGATCCACAACCTGGAGCGGACCCATTGGTTTGCGACCGAAGAGGTGAGCCCTGGTCATCCCGGGTTCCACAGAGCCTGTCCCCTCATTGACAATTGACCAGAGAGGCTATCAACGCATCCAAGAAACCAAGCCAGTCACCCTGGGATATGCCTTGCATGATTCGCCGGTGGCGATTCTGGCCTGGTTTGTCGGCAAGCTGAATGCATGGACGGATGAGTATCCCTGGACCCACAACGAGCTCATTCACTGGGCACTCATTCACTATCAAGGGAGTCCCAGTGCGGCTATGCAGATCTACAAAGAGGCTTCTGCTGTTTTGAATGCAAACCCGGCTAGTATGCTGGGCCAATACATCTCCCAACCTGTAGGAGCCTCTGTTTTCCCAAAGGAGGTAAGCCGCCCCAACCTGGTACCGATCTACCGGGTGACTGACATGGTGGTCAATAGGTGTGGATCGCACCACGAGAATGGGTTGAGGAAGCGTGCAACATCCAATTCTGGAGACATCACAGACGTGGTGGTCATTTCGCTGCCTGGGAATGTCCCCAGGCGCTGGTGGACGATGTAGTAGAATTTTACCGCAAGGACGGACCGGTCTTTAGCAATGGAAAGTCTCCCATCAGCTAGATTATAATGGTGCCAAAGAACATGCATGTTCACCTGCATTGATTGCCCAATTCATACTATCTTCGAAGCCCGGGCTGAGATTGATCTGCATTTTCGGGGACCGGTGTCTAGAACTATGACTCTGATCGTTGTAGGCTCTAGATTCTACATCTCTGTCGAAGAATTGCATCACTCGAGAGTCCAGGTAGAAGCAGCACAGAGGTTGGCAAGACCAATTCCCTTTAACCAACCCTGCCGTCATCGAACTGTACGTCTCCTGCTCCGCGCATCAGTACGTCAAAGAAGGCAGTATCAAAACCTTGGAACACCCAATCGTCGATGCTGGCGGCTGCATCCGGGAACATGAGATCTTTCTCCGCTGAAGTATCGGGGATTCTTCTGGACGAAAGCTGCGTAGTATTTTGTTGCGGCAATGGATCGCTTGCTGCCTGTGTTCTAGCTGCTTGTGGTATTGAGAAAGCGGATGTGCTATCGACTGAAGATTGGGCAGAAACCCTGGAAGGTTCAATTCGAATCGACCCAAGGCCTCCGATCGTGACTCCTGCGTGAGCACCTTGATCTTGCCCGGTTTCGGAATATGGCACTGACGTGATGCCTTCAGGTGCAATTCTAATCGCACCGAGATATGGTACCCGGATGACTAACACGTTTGGATTATCAGTCGGCTGATTATCTGACCACGGTGTCTCGCCCGTGCCAGTCTTGTATCCTCGTGCTGCTCTGCCTTCAATAGACAATAGATCCTTCAGCAAGGCAGCACATTCCGCGGCGAGGACATCCTCGTGTAACTCTGACATGGACTTCATGCATTCGAGAGCCCGCTCCACGGTGGCCCTGTCACTCGATCGCTGGTGTGCGAGCAGCCGATTGACCTCAGTCTGGCTATGACTTGCGAGGTGCGCGAGCATTAAAGTCATTCCGGCAATTAGCGCCATGAAGTCGCCGATCCGACAACAGGCGGTTATCGGGTTGAAAGTACGGATCGCTATCTCGCGAACCAGTATCTCACGGCTGGCGTTCGCACACGCGACTCCCGAGTACACCACATCCGCATTCTGGCTTTGGCACAACATGTACGGTAAATGCAGTTGGTTGACAACGGTATAGTAACACATGTGGTCCCATGCTCGCCGGGTTTCGTAGAATGCCTCCGCTGAATCAACTTCCAGACCTGTGAAATCCAGTGGCCGCCAGAATGTGGAGGGCAATTGCTCGGTCATCCTAATGAGCTCTCGATCGATGTCCCGTGTCATTAGCAGAGACTGTCGGCAGATTCTTACCTGATTTCGTTCCAGAATTCTAGCCGTGATCTGCATGATTAGTGATGACAGATTGCCACTTGTCCCCGAAGAGCTCATGCTCCCCGACGCTGGAGGGCTCGTCCCCGCAGTACTCGTGGGTAGACCCAGCAGCAAGGACAAGACACGCTCCAAGGAGACGATACAAGTCCACATGACATTGGGGTCGAGGTCGTTCTTGTCGTTGATTTTCTTGAAGCGGTGATGACCGGGTTGATGCAACCCCAAGAGTTGCGCCGTAGTGACAGCACGGCGCATGGCTAACCAGGCACGACGGATGTTACCGCTGTCTATATGGTAGAACCCCTCGAGGATGACGTTTTCCAGACCTTCCAGGGTACTCATTAACCGGTCATTGGTAGTAACCATGGCAATGGCTGACTCCGCGAGTTCCTCCATGATGACGTGGTGATGTTGATTAAGACCCGGGATACTCGCAGTGGGAGAAACGTGCTGCAATGCAGCTGCAAGCAGTAACATTTGCCTCGCTAGCAAGACCGGATGGGTTTCTGGGTGTTGTAAACTGGGAATCGCTATTTGTTCCCGTGGCAGTTCTTGGCGCGACGAGCTATTGAATTTGAAGCCGGACTGATAGCACAGAGCGGCAAGTCTCGAAACCTTTCCTAGCAGAAGCTCGACCTCGCTGTGAGAGGGCAGCGCACGTAGAAGAGTTTGGGTAATTTTTGCATGTCTTGCTGGCTGTCCGCAAGTCCTAGCATGATCGGAGGTTGGTGACAAGCCCGGCGTTAGGAGCGGTTCGGACGATGTTCGATCGAGTTGACTGACACATTTGCTGCCTCGACGGCTGCAGGGGATGCAGCTATCATCGTCCGGGCTTGCCAAAGTGCATTTGACCTTTCTTCGGCGGCACTCTCGGCAACAGTGAGTTCCTTTTCGCACCTTCCTTCGTTTTGCCGCACTTTCCTCCGTAAACGCCGCATTCATTCTTGCGGAAGTCTGTTCTTACCCGATGATGCATAGATGAGCCAAGGTGAAGTTGGGGAAAGGAGAGGAGTGAAGGAGTGAGCGAGCAGATCGGCCGAACTGTCTGACTCAGCACCTTCCGCCCTTTCCAATTCGGCCGAATAATGCTACTACTACCTAGGGCTAGCATAATATCTATCCCCGTCGCACAGCAGACGGACTAGACCCTGGAACTTCCATGGCCTGCAAGATTAATGGTCAATTCAAGACATGAGTAGACGAAATCTCATTTGACGCATATTATAAGTTACACACTTTGACGTGCTCGTGTTCGGCCGAAGCCGCTGACAAATGGTGGATTTGGACAGCTTCGGACAGGCAGTCGGAGATATCTGCTTACTGCAGCCATCAAGTCTTATAACATGGGGCAAACCCTCGCACAAAGCTCGTCAGATTCGCCATTCTGTCTGTGTTGGTGGGAAAGTATCATCCTCACACAAGCACCGCAATGAGGGAGTGCACACCTTTCGCATCAGAAAAACCAGCGGCCACCCAAGACCCTCCACCGTGGTCGAACACGATGACGGCATCAATCTCTACACCCAGCGCCACCAAAGCCAAAACCATCGACACGCAAGACCCCGTTGATGATGGCTATCCGCATGGCACTCGCCTGGCTGCTATTGTTCTCTCACTCTTGCTGGGCATGTTCCTGGTGGCGCTTGATAACGTGGGTTGCCCAGCTTCATGACGAAGCGCAGAGCTGATTGATCTTGCTGCCAGACCATTCTTGGAACTGCTATCCCTAAGATCACCGATGAGTTCCATGACCTGAACAAGGTTTCGTGGTACGGAGCGGTATACTTCATGACCTTTGGCGGTGGTGAGTCGTGACGGTGCGGGTTGCCCACGCCATGCTAACAGTTCGCAGAGACCATGTCCTTTTCCTCGATCTCTAGACCATGCTCGGGGTCAGGCGGGCCATCTTGGCGAGACCTAACGGCTGATTCTTTTCAGGGTTCCAATCGACCTGGGGAAAGGTCTATAAGTTCTTTCCCATCAAACTTTGGTTCCTCGTCGGCTTGTTCGTTTTTGAGCTGGGAAGCCTCCTTTGTGGAGTTGCTCCAGATCCCACAACTCTGATAGTTGGCCGGGCAATTGCAGGCTTGGGCGGAGCTGGGGTGACCGTGGGGGTTTTCACCATACTTGGATTCGCCGCCCCTCCTGAAAAGCGTCCGCAATTGTTAGGGTATACCGGCGCCACATACGGGATTGCTGCGGTTCTCGGACCGCTTATCGGGGGTGCCTTTACCGATAAAGTGACATGGCGCTGGGTAGGGTCATAAAACTTGCCTCCAGTTCCCCCTCTAATTGCTGACCCAGTTCTAGTGCTTCTACGTTAACCTGCCCATTGGGGGGTTTGCGGCAGTGATTATCCTCGTATTCTTCCAGGCCCCGGCCAACGCAATGCCCGTGCGAGTCACTCTACGAGAAAAGTTGTTGCACATGGACTTTGTTGGTGCCGCTCTGATGATGGGATTGATTATCTCATATATCTTAGCACTGCAGTATGGTGGTCAAACACACTCTTGGAACAGCAGCGTCGTGATTGGCTTACTAGTTGGTTTCGTCCTACTGCTTGGGGTCTTTATCACATGGGAGATCTACCAAGGGGAGCATGCAATGATAGTTCCGCGATTGGTAAGTCACAGCCCAGCTCCGTCGTGGCTTGCAGAGGATCTAATTGCCCTGGTCGGGGTAGTTTATGAAACGCTACGTCTCTGTCGGTTCCGTCTTCATGTTCTTCTTCGGTGGCGCGTATTTCACAATCTTGTACTATCTCCCCATCTACTTTCAAAGTGTCTACAACAGCAGTCCCATCGGATCCGGGGTCAAGATGCTTGCCCTTATCATTCCCCTGACGATTGCGGCCATTGTCCAAGGGGTTGCACTATCCAAGATCGGCATCGTGCCGTTATTCTGGGTGATTGGCGGCGCGATAGGAACCATAGGGTGCGGTTTGTTCTATACAATGGACACCCACACTTCGACTGGCAAGTGGATTGGGTATCAGATCCTGGTGGGTTTCCCCACTGGTTGGACATTTCAGGTCGCTCTTTCCAACGCACAGGTTCATGCGACACCCGAGGACATGTCGCAAGTGGCGTCCATTGTGAATTGTAAGTCACGTCCTTCCAGCGACCGTGTCCAGCGAGAACGATCTGCTGATTGCCACCGGTAGTTTTCGTGACCGTGGGCGGGTCTTTCTTCCTCTCGGCCGCACAATCCGCTTTCAACAATCAGCTGCTCCAAGAGATGGCCCGCAGACTGCCCGATCTGGATCCATCCGTGGTTCTGGGCGTTGGGGCGACGCAGATTCGCCAAGCATATACCCCTTCGCAAGTACCCGTCGTGATTGATGCGTATGTGGTCGGGTTGAAGGCGGTCTTCGCCATCACCGTGGCTGCTTTTGGCGTCAGCACAGTCATTGGTTTCTTTGGGAGCTGGAAGAGACTTCATGCAGATGGCTTGAAAAAGGCTGCTGGGGGCGCAGCATGAGCCTCATTAGGGGGTTAGTGGGTTGGTGTTTCCTCGGGTTGTTTGACACGGTGGACTTCATCCTTCGATCGATAAACTGTGCACTAAACAGCCAGAAAAGCCCAGGACAGTAGGCGGAAGAGGATTCAGTTAGTAGTCTACTCTGTTAATGCTCTCAGCCTACTGATGCCTGGGCCATTATAAATCACTTTACTGGGTCTGCAATTATGAACTTTCTAGCTCGATGGAAATGAGCCTTGACCTGCTACAACCGGCAGACCCTCTCGATGAGCCAAGCCTTGCATTCTGAGTTAGTATTCGCTTTGCACATGGACTCGGTTGCATTCTGAGACTCATAGATCAGGCACTCTGTGTCACAGGGCATCCGCCAAAGTCAACGGAGCACCGGTCGTGCTGCCGCGCAGTCGATAAAACATGGATCGGGTGCCAGACTAACGCCGTAGTCTGAGTTTTATCGCCTGCTCAATGACATCCACCAACCTTTTCACCTGCAGTCTGAGGGGGTTAGGGATTTCCCTCACACTGGTGGGTACAGTATCCCTTCGCTTCCGAGATACGTGTTTGAATCTCAGCCATCGAGCAATTCTCAAAGGGCCCCAGAGAAGGCCAGAGTCCAGCGCAGCAATCCAGCCGAGCGCAACTGCCATCCGTTGCGAAAGCTACCCCGCCCGCTTGAAGTTGTTCGTGGATGGTCCGTAGTCGTCTGTGTATGTGGTTGCATAGGTCACCTTCTGCCTATCAGAATATCCGCCATGGCATTCGCGTGGGGAACCTATTACAAACAACTTGACGGTAGCAGGCCCAGGAGGTCTATCTGGTTCCAGGCGTTAATTTGGGCCTGGATGGAAATTCTGGCATAATGGCTTGCGTACTAAAAGAGGTATGCAGCGAGAAGAAGGTAGCCATGATCCTCTGGTGTCTCGATACGACTAAACGTGGCAAGCCAGTTCACGATCCAAGGCCGGAAAGCACTGTTGCAGTCGTACTTATCACAGTGAACAGCGATAACAGCGAGATGTCTCGCACCCAATGAATCCCTCTCTTCAGACCCTTGGTAGTAAAGAGCTTGTGGAATTGTCCGCATGGCACCTGGGCTGTCCTCCGGTAGGGTGATGGTCGGCCGAGTCGAGTTCTTCATTTGATTCCCCTCCCGGGACCCCGATGTAAATAGTCTCGCAAAGACGGGTGAGGCGAGGATCAGGACTTTTGATGACACCAGGAATCGGCCTGAAGCTGGACCGGTAATCAGGAGTACCGCGTCCCCATCCGGATCTAGTGTCCCGAGGGGGGACTCCATGGCTGGAGATAGAGCACGCTCTGAGTTCTCGTCTGGCATGATGTGTTATTGGGAGTACGGTGTGTATGGGAAACGACGATGGTGATTTGGTTCTGGAGAGAAATTGCAGGGCAGTGAGTGAGGCACTAGAGATGACCTGGTTTGGCCTCATGGGGATGCTTCCGGAAACTGCTCTTCATGATCAGATGTAGTTTGTAACCATGGGTGAATTTAATTGAGCCAAAGGCCTGGAGTCATACATTTGCCCGATTCTCTTCCTCCATTGGATTTGGGACCACTGGGACAGTCTGGAGCTTTGCTGTCTATTCATCCGAGCCAGTTGTTTACTACCTAAGTAGGTATCTTAGTCACCGGGTTTCACCGCCGCGCTGCCACACAATGCAATCACCTGATCATACGAAAGCCCTTAATCCCTACTCTAGCGTTGTGCACATCCTTTCATAATTTCTGGCGACCACAACAATTGAACAATTCTTGCATTATTGGGGCAATGCACTGTACTTTCTAGTGATACACCCGGCGGCTCCTCAGACCGGAGCCAAGTTATAAATCTTCTTAATGTCGCGCAGCGTCTCCTCGAAGTCAATCTCCAAGTCGCGGAGCAGGCCGGTCTCCATGTCAAAGATCCAACCATGCACGATCGGGAACTGGCGCTCGTGGAAGCTCTGCTGCACGGCGGCAGTCTTGATGATATTGCGGCAAGACTCGACGACATTCAACTCGATGAGACGCTTGTAGCGGGCGGTCTCATCTTTGATATCATCCAGCTCGCGCTCATACAGCCGGTAGACATCCCTTATGTTGCGTAACCAGGGGTTCAGCAGGCCCAGGTCGGAGGGGCTCATGGCGGCCTTGACCCCGCCGCACTGATAGTGGCCGCAAACGACGATATGCTTGACGTGGAGGTGGCGAACGGCGTAGTTGATGACGGACATGACGTTGAGATCCGTGTTGGGGACCAGGTTGGCAATGTTGCGGTGAACAAACACCTCCCCGGCCTCGAGCCCCATGATCTCATTGGCGGGCACGCGACTGTCACTGCAGCCAATATATCTGCGAATCGGGGGAGGGTCCACCGGGTCAGTCTCAATTGCAACTCTCAAACAGCTAGTCTCCTTAGTGTGCGATGCTCTTTAGTTTCTTACAAATATTCCGGGGTCTGGCCGGCGTTGAGTTTCTCGAAGAAAGCGGGGTCTTCCTGCTTCTTGGCGGCCACCCAGGCCCGATTGTTCTCAAACACCCGCTCATGGGAGTGCTTGAGATACTCGGGGACTGATTTTTGAGGTTGGGAGTCTTTGGCAGAGCACATGGTGGGAGATAGGGGGTAAGATGGTGGGAGTAGGGGATGGATGTTGGGGTAATTAATTGAAGGAACTGCCACGTTGTCCACGGTTGTGGTTGTTGTTGCCCCGCTCGCTGAACCGCGGCTTGGGGCTTTGCTACGGCTACGGCTGCCCATTCCTGCCCTCCACGTAGTTCCTGCCTGAATTATGCCTTATCCCTTATCTTATCATCAGTCGCATCGTCGGATCAATTCGCTCTATTGGGTATCGTTCATCTATCAAGTCACTTTCAGTATCTACACCAACCCCAACACCAACATCAACACCCAGCCTCGGTGATTTGGTATCCAGTCTTCGATGCGCGGTCATACACCACCCCGAAGACCTGGATGTCGTGGTCGTGTGCTTGGCTCAACGACTGCACCTGCCCCAGGATGTTCAATTCAACCATCGCTCGGTCCCGTTCTTGCCCGCTGGTTTGGTCGAGAGCGTGATTGTGCGTCGAACGAACCATATCCAGCGTTCTGCTCCAAGGTTCCGGCACGCACGGGTTGGGCTTCCCCTGCACAATGTGACAGCCGTAATGCCCGCAGACGACAATGTCCCGAATCTGCCACCTCATTGTTAGCGGGGCGGAGCGACAGGTGAGTCTGAGTTTGAGTCTGACCTTGAGTTGCTCCAATGCATAGCCCAGCGTGGCCTGACAAGAAAGGTCGTCGATCACCATATTCCCCAGATTTCGATACTCCAAGACCTGGTTGGCCTGGAGACCCAGGGTCTCCAGCTCATCGTAATCGCTATCCGAGCAGCCAATCCACAGCACCTGCTTGCCCGTGGCTTGCTGCCAGGGCACTGAGTCCGATCGCACCGGACGCAGCTCGTAGCGTGTGCGGAGTTGGTCTCTCATGGTGTGAAGCGGTGCGGCGAGGGAGGTCCGGAATTGAGGGCGAATAAATCGGGGGAAAGCCGCGGGGCAAGAGCAGAACATCAGTAGGAATGTGAGATTGATGGTGATGAGCGAAATGAAGAAGTTGGTGTGGTCAAGGGTTGTTCTTATACAACCAAACGGGCAGTGAAGTGGAAGGGTTGCCCCAGTACTGCCGTCGGGCAATGACTTGAAACACGCGCAACTATAAAGGTGAAGGCAAAGTCGACTCGGCCGAAGCGGCGATATCTCGGTGGACTCAAATCCCGGCCGTTATTTGTTATTTGATCGACCCTCCGCATGATTGCATGCATTCTCATGTGCCATCGGCCGAAGCGGTGGCTATAGCCGCTGTACACTATGTTTGCCCCTGAGCCAGACCATCTTTCGTCATAATTGTCAGGCTCGATGTATGTCTGCACTTGGCTCGGCCGGACCCTCCCTGGCCAGCTAAATTCCAACTCGGCAAAATATTCCAAGTTTTCGCTGGAAATTCGAAATGTTTCCGCATATCTACTCGAGCCATGGCTCCACTATGCTGGCTTCGAATTATGTGGCAGTTGTCGTGATTTAGGTGGCCGGGGAGAGAATCGATACAGGCCGCGACCAAGCTTGATACTCAGCCAGACTCGTCGAGATTAGAAAGCTCGGGGAGAAGGCCGAAGGGAGGCGGGTGAAGAATGCAGGGGCCGAGAGTTCGGCCGGGATTGAATCCGCCCCCCCCCCGGTGGGTCCCCCCCGTTGAAGATTGATATCATCCTTTCCGTACGGGGGCTTGCATAGTACTCTACAGCCTGACACCCTTGTCATCCACGCTAGCACCAGAAAGAAATGAGTTAACACTCAAATCGCTGCAATATAGAATGCTCATGAGTTGGAACCAGACCTAAACGAACAGAGACGAATCGAGTCCAACCACAGAAGACGAACAACAATTCAGTTACGATGCTATACCATTTGACTGCTAGGATATGACCACCAACCACCTTCCGAGTGGTGAGAGAGATGAGGGTCGACAGCCCCAGTCGCTTCTGTCGAGAGACCTGCCATGCCCGCAGTCCAGGCCAGCGCAGACCAGAACAACAACGGACTCGATAGGAGAAGGAAACCACATATGAGTCGAAGCGCCGTGAACGCGGCATCTCTCGTCCTAAGTACATTCAACAAAGCCGCTGCTACTGCTGGCTCCAGAGTGAGTGATCAGACCCGCCAACGTGTCCGCCGTGTTCAAGATAACCCGATCGGCCCCAGGAGATCCCCCGTCATACACATCGCCATCGCTCAAGATCGGGAACTCATAGTAGGTGCCCGCGACACTAAAGTCGAAGCCTTCATAGTCGTGGTAGACGTGTGGATACTCGTTGAGAGTTTCGCCGGACTTGTACAGCGAGTAGCCTTCTGCCTGCGCCGCATTCACCGCACTGGAGGTGTAGCAGTGGCTGCCACAGGTATACGCACAGCTGGCACGCTCAACATTCTCTTTGGGGAAAGGGGAGGCCAGTGCAGTGGCGAGGAGAAAAGGAAGGCACACGAAAGTGCTCTATTGGGCTCGAATCAGTATATCGACACCTACTTCGTGGAGCTGCAATGAAAAGGCAACCTCTCTCACCTGAAGCTGGAACATCCTGTCTGGCTGGCCTGCTGGATGGCTTACAGATCTCGGATGGAGGGATGCTGCTGGAAGTGCTTGGCTAATATCGCTTGTTCCTCCGTAATCACGGATTATTTATGTCGTCGTCGCAAACTCTTCATTCTCCTCATCGGCCATCTCCTATCACCGATCGTATCAGGAACTATACCCAAGCACGTGGTTCAGTACAAGTACCGGTGTCTACGGAGTACGGGTGTTCGGCTTGATGTGCGTTGGACTGGCAACTGGTATGGGGGCCGGGACACGGAGTGAGCAAAGCCCTGACTCACGTAAACTACCAAAAAGTAAACCCTTGAAATAAAGGTGAGATCTATTGCACGGCTTTCCATTGGGCCTCAAGCTGAGCGACGCGCATCGTCTCGTCCCCTAGAATAGGATTCATGCCTAGAGCCTGGTTGAACTGCGAAGCGCCAGTGGGTCCGACTGGCGGGGTTACAAATGCAGCGTCGACGTGGGCTTGTTGGAGCTAGCTTGAAGTAACGACTGAAACCGTATGTCTTCATATTACCGATAAGGCACTGGATACAGATAAGGCACTGGATACAGATGTTGGCACGGTTGCCGTTGCGCTTGAGATCGTACCATGTACCCCGGTAAGTGCCGTCACCAAAGCATGCATTGTGGGGTAACAAGAACCTCTCGTGCGGCATTCCACCGCACCGCGAAGTCCTTGTCCTGCATAGCCTTTATCCCAGCCACTAAAAACGGAAGGAATGCCATGTTGCACACCCAAGTGCTCTGACCGCCGTGGCCAAGGTTGACCGGAACAGACTCCCATTCGTAGTCTATGAACATACATTACTGTGGAGCACAATGATGGCAATGGGACCGTCGAGGTAGTCGTTTTGACCGAACTGGCGCTGGAGGGGGAACGGGCCGGTGCGACAGAATGGCAAGTGGGGAGAGCCTTAGAAGGGTCGCACTGACTGACTAGTGCCATTTATAATGTAGGTAACAGTAGACAGTTTAACTTGAGAGTGGCTCACCTGCCTCGTTGCAATGGTAGTTACGTGATCAAGCCGAATATATGAATCACGGCCACATCAATTGACAAGGCCGGGTCGCTGCAAACCCCCCAGATCCTTTAAATTCAGATGGTGCCAAATCAGACAAACTGGAAGAGGTCGGATGTAACACCATGGAAATACAGAAGACACCTCAGAACCAGCCAAGAGGCCCAAGAAGACCTTAAGCATTGGGCTCAGGGCTGCCAACCCACTAGCTGACCGGAACTCCAGAGTTGTTGCTTGCCTCGATACCTAAACTAGTGACTGTGATGCAGGCGGCCAGTCGCTATCCCTTTGCATGGCATCATGAAATTATCAGAAAGAAGCCCAAAAGGGAGCCTATCGGGTATTCAACACCATCAATACGACCTTCTTGGGAGTCTTTGAGGTGGTAGGTAAAAGCTTGAGCTGGCATGAGTGCTGGCATAACTCGAGCATAATCTCATGAGCAGGATAACTTGAGCATAATTTACGTCAATTACCTCAGCACCCCCCCGCAACCCCTTATGCAGTCCGCTGGGTTGAACACCACTGGTCTTGATTTTAACAGCCATAATTTTGGATTTAAAATGACAAAAGACCTTCTAGCAGAGATACCTCCATACTGTACACGCAGTCGACTCTCTCGTATTGTGTCCCTGGGAACATACACGAGTCATTGGCAGTTGACTTATCTTTGCCACTGAAGTTGCTAAATCCGGCCAGCGCGAGGGCAACCAGGGAAACAATGCATTGATGAACCGAACTAAGGAAACCCTCGTATAATCGAGTTCTCATGATGTCAATCAATCTCTCTGTCTCGAGTATGGGGCTGAAAAGATACAAAATCCCGTCTGTATCGCCTCTCGCGACGCGAATTGAAGAACATGCTCATTCCCCACCCTAAATGCGAGTGAGCCCTAATACTTTGCTGGAGACACCCCCAATAACATTTACGGGTTATCCATACGACACCACAACAATTTCCACAAACCCACCAGAATGAAGCTGACTACCCTGGCTATAACTGTTCTTCTTGGCACCTCCACTGCCACCGCCTGGGAACTTCGCGCCAACGGCCAAAAATGGACGGGCACCAAACCGCAAGGCTGCACCACTGTCAACATTCCCAAAGGTGCAAGGATCAGCTGGTCAGGATCATCTGGAGCTCGGACACTGCAGGTGTACAATGCCAAAGGAAGCTGCTCTCAGGTGTATCGGACCGTGCAGGGAGTAGGAGATATCAACGCCTCGAACAATATTTACGGTTTTGTTGTGAAGGCTTGATATGAGGGTTGTGGATAGAGTCCAAAGAGGAGATATGTGCCAGGTTCATTTAGGATGAAATTCAGAAAAGCAAACTAGGATGTATTATAGCTACCGACTGACAGACAATATGACACCAATTAGTACAAATGGAGTTACAATGAGAAATAGATATATGACGGCTGGTTTAATCCATGCTTCCCAGGCAGACCCTACAGCAGAGCCCTTCACCATAGTGGACTGATTGTGCCGCTCTCGGACAGCCCCGGTTCATGAAGGCGCAACCGCTGCACCAATTCAACTTGAGAGAAGGCACATAAGACTGCACAGTTTGGCGGCAAGAAGGACAAAGCCTCTCGCTAGTTCCCTTTTGCCTGGGCTATTGTTAAGACCCTTCCCCTATGTGAAACGTGTGTCTCGGCATGCCAAATACAGTACCGCTGTTGGATTATTGAGTATCCTTGGACGGCTGATGCTTAGTGAGGATATGAGGGTAGAGCAAAGTATTGAAACTGGCTTCTATCGCGGTGATGGGGAAACGACATATCTCGAAATCTTGTATTGTCAATTTATGTGGTCCAAAGAGACGCATGTTTGATTAGAGCAACGTATCTTATACCCATTCGCGCCTGCCCTGAAGGGTATGGGTGACCTGTAGGTAGTAGTCGATGTTTTGCATGAAGGGCCGGGGCAGTCTGAGAATTACAAGCATCAAACAAGAAAAGGGAGAGAGAGGAGCTGCTTTATATGTCTCTAGCAAACCTCACTGATACATAGCTTCAGACCCACAGTAAGCAAGACCGAGCGCGTGGTGGCACCCGTTGGAGGCGTAGAGTTAGGACATGTCAGCACTAAAGAAGGCTACTTGAATTTAGATCATCGTTTTATTAATTTGGTGACGTTTATGATTGGAAGCCTCGTGATGATGCCTATAATCAAAGGTACTAGATTGTTGCGCTCCACGATACCGATCCCTCGGAAGCGAGGTCGTTGTCCATCTGTGTGGAGACCGAGAAGAACCTCAATCCAACGATTGCTGCTTAGTAATGTGACCCTTGATCAATACACAAATTCCCAGGAACAGTCCCTTCTCGAACGAATCTTGGAGATTGTAAATGCGGACAACTCGGATCTCCACGGGCTTGACCCTGATATCGCCAATGGCATTGCGAACGTGCTTCCATACCATGATTTTGCCACCCTGATATGCACACCCGAGCACCATCTCCCACTCGGGGAGGGGGGGGCTACCTGCCGCATTTCCTCCAACTTGGGCTCCAGAAGAAACCTGAAGGTATCTGACTTGTCGAGGGCGTCTAGGAGTATGTGTTGAAAACACTTCCCATCCTTAAACACGCTGATTGCCTGTGGTTCCTGAGCGCCTGGCCTCTGGATCACTCGAAAGACGAATCCCGGCTCCCCTTCGAATGCCTGCCGCAAAACACTCACCAAAAGGGTATCAGCCATGGTGATAAAGATATAATTTGATGGTCTGGAGCAAAAGTCGGTTTGGACGTTGCGGGGTGGGGCGGGAGCCATTGTGGCTTGTTTGTGAGATGAGTTCGGTGTCGTTGCAGGGATATACATACTTCGAGAGTTGTGGCAGACGAGGGAGAGGACTGGGCGCCAAAGCCTTTTTCTTCTATACTGAAAGACTCTTTCGTCAAAATTGGGCCAAGTGCCAGCCCAGGCCAGAGCAATCAGGAAGGTCAACGTATAGCAACTGATTTATAGGATGTCTCAGTCATAGGATAATGCCATGGAGCACCAGGAAAAATCGGTTTATTCATAAGTCACAGAATAATGCAGGGCGTGTAACCTCAACGTTATATTGTATGTTGCAAGATAGTTCTATTCGGTAGGAAAGCACTGTTGGGGCTTTCTTTATCATCTCACAACACAAGAACAATGAGAAAGAAGGTTGCACACCCTTTGTTGAATAAATAGACTTTTATTCATTCACAAATAGTTGACCCTCGAGCTTACTAATTGCAGCCTTGACTATCTCAAGCCTTGGATTATGAACAAACCGGAAGTCCTCTTCGGAAGAAGCAGGTTCTTGTATAGCTCCTTCAACAACAATCCACGACAAAGTAAATTACTGTAGTCCTTTTCGTCGCCGACTGCCAATGAAACTTCGGAGCGAGAAGCTATCGTCGTCGCCAACACGAGTGCTTTCCGTGACCCAGTAGAAGACCCTGTCGCGGTTGATTGCGACGCTCTAGGCAAACAGCCGGCAGATATCGCAAGCTTCTACCCACACTTACCTCCATAGGAATAATGCTGTTTGCTCACTGCGCTTTGGTTCTGAGACCCCCCTGTTTCAGCCCCAATGACCTTTGCGCGAGATGTGGGTATCTTTCTACCGCACTCTCCACTACCAGAGCGAGAAGTTCCTGGTGCGATACACCATGGTGGCGAGCCGTCTCGCTGAGGAAGGAATACCCTGGACACAGTCCAGGCAGAGGGTTCACCTGAATAGTTTCAGCATGATTTTAATGAATTCTGGGATGAGTGGCTGGCCACTGACCTCGATAACATGGGGTATTCCATCGGCTGAGCACCGAATATCCACACGTCCCACGTCGCGAAATCCCATGACTCCCCAAACCCGCAAGGCGAGCGCCTCCACTGCCGCCACCTCCGGATCCCGCGAGTCAATAGCGAATTTCATGACATCTTTATCGTTCGCTCGGTTTTTGGCATCAACGTCCAGGAACCCTCTTGTGAACGGATCCTTCTCGCTCGCGGATTGTGTCCCGTGCCGTTTCTGCGCGGCCTCCCAGTCCAGATGCAAGGTCCCAAGCACGCGTGCGGTCGGGCCGGTGCCGATCAGACTCACCGAGTATTCACGGCCAGCAAGATAGCTTTCGACCAGGATACTCTGACCGGGAAACTGGCGTTGTAGCTTCTGGACCCCCTGTTCGAGTTCCGTCTGATTGTGGACCTTGGAGAACGGATAGATGCCTTTCGAGCTTCCTTCACAGGAGGGCTTGATGAACAGCGGATATGCTGCCAGCTCGACTGCGTGAGGGCTTGCTTGCACATCTTTTAGCGCATTCTGTGACGTTGGTGAGACGACGGCAAACGGTGCGGTGGCGATCTTGTGGTATTGGAACATCATCTACGATGCAGAAATCCAAGCTTAGCACGATCGCGTCGCTCGTCGAGTGAGCACAGTTGGTGCATGATGATAGGATACCTTGGTTTTCGCTTTATCCAGCGTCATGGTCAGGGTGGCCGCGTCGGAAAATACGCAGGGAATGCGATATGCTTCGAGCACGCCGGGGATTTGGGCCTCGCGAGCGGCGCCGTGCATCCCCTCCGAAATCGAGAACCCTAAGTCCCATTCCTGATGCTCCCCCTTCGCAATGCGCTGAATCAACTCCCCCATGTCCCCCACCGGAATCACTCGATATCCCAACCCGCGGAGCGACTCGACCATGCTCTCGATTGCCTCATCTTTGTCCAATTCCAGGCACTCCTCCAGGCTGTAGCCTTTGCTGAGATACAGCGAGATCGTCTCATAGAAGAACGCGATCGTGATTGGAGTGAGGGTCATGGTTCCGAGTGCTGTTAGCAATGAGTCCCGTGTCTGTTGCGAGATCCAAGTGAGGCCCTCTCACTGGTTCTTAAGATGGTGTAATGAGGAAGCAGGTTGTGCGATGGCGGGCGATCATCCCTTGCATTACAAAAAAGCGGTGGACACGTCAGCATGCATGCACGCACGCAATGCCAGCTTTACACATCACTTCCCAGTGGCCGATCTGAGGGGATCACGCTTCGAGTCAATTCACGCTCTGCAATGTCTAGACCGAGTTTTCCGACTGAAGGGCTATAAACCGCGCACGGTTGGGCATGGGGTCATGGGCTTCCCACACGGCCGATACAATCACCCGCCATGACTCTCTCCTCACGCATTGCGAAGTCAACCGTTGGAAAGGTGCGATGGTCGTCGGTGGTCAGCAGTCTTCAGTTGCATCCATCGCCCACGGGGAATTGGGAATACTGGCGCAAGGTGCCCGCCTGGAAGGATGTATCCCAAAACGAGTTTTTAAACTACAAGTGGCAGGTATGGTGACTTATGTCGGGGCTATCCTCCACATTCACAATCTGATCACAAGATAGATGCACCACTCGCTCCAGAACACCCCATCTCTGCTTGCCTTTCTGTCTGGAGTTCTTCCACCCCAGGTTACAGCACCGTCGGGCCACGGTGTAATCACTCGTGACGAGGTGTTGCGTGATGTGGTAGCCGGGCTGAAGCAGGCACCGATGGCGACTCGACTGACACCATACATTCTGTCACTGATCAACTGGGACGATGTCTACTCCGATCCAATTCGACGACAGTTCATTCCAGTCGGCTCCTCATACCAGCCCGACCATCCTAAACTCACCCTCGACTCGTTAAACGAGACGCACGACTCGCCGGTGAAAGGCCTGGTTCATCGCTACCCGGACAAGGTGCTTTTCCTCGGTAAGAGTTATGAAGCCCGATTCTTGAGTGATACCAACCTGTGCCAGCCAGCTCGGTGTGTCCGGTCTACTGCCGGTTCTGCACTCGATCCTACTCTGTAGGGGCGCAAACTGAATCGGTCTCCAAAAAGCGATTTCTCCCACTACGAAAATACTGGGAACCGATGTTTGATTACATTGCGCAGACCCCAACCGTGACCGATGTCGTAGTCTCCGGCGGCGACACCTTTTTCCTCGAGCCAGCACAACTGCAAGAGATTGGCGAGCGACTCCTGAGTCTGGAGAACGTGCGACGGATTCGTTTCGCAAGCAAAGGACTGTCTGTTTGCCCGTCACGCATCCTGGATCCCGACGACGAATGGGCCAACACGCTGATCGCCCTGAGCGAGCAAGCCCGGGCGCAATGCAAGAGCATCGCCCTACATACTCATTTCAACCACCCGCAAGAGATCTCCTGGATCAGCGAGCAGGCTGCGCAGCACTTGTTTCGTCATGCGGTGACTGTCCGAAACCAGACTGTCTTGCTGAACCGGGTCAATAACGACGTGCACACGATGAAGCGATTGATCCGAACGCTAGCAGACATCAATATCCAACCGGTGAGCTCCGCTACGCTACCTCTACTGAGGGACCATGTCCGATTAACCGGTTCAACTAGTATTACGTATACCAGGGAGACATGGTCCGAGGGGTGGAAGATCTCCGGACCCCCTTGCGCGACATCCTGCACCTTGAGTCGCAGATCCGCGGCACGATCGCCGGGTTTATGACACCCTCCTTCGTCGTCGACCTTCCCGGTGGCGGTGGTAAGCGCCTGGCGCAAACGTATGACAGCTATGATTCTTTGACGGGCGTGTCCAGATTCACAGCCCCGGGAGTCAAAGGGGATACCGTTCATGAGTATCATGACCCCATGTGGTCCTTGCCTTCAGCAACCGAGGAGATGAGCACGGAAAGGGTAGCTTTTAGCTCGTAAATACTGCACTTCTGCAGCTAGCCTTAGAGAAGCTGTTGTTTCAGGGGTAAAACTGCAAGGGATTGCAGCGTCGCATCCAAAACATACCGATCATCGCCCGCTTCTCCTTTTAGGGCAAATGCCGCCCGATCGGGCTTCGACTGTAGAATCACAGGTTGAAATGTTTTCTCACTTGTCATCTCTTGAAGCGCGTTAGAAACTGCTTCCAGGTCTTTGCAGTGTTCTGGCACCTTCTTCGTTTGTAGTCCGTATTCATGCCATTTTCCCGCCATGAGTGAAGGGCATATGTTAGAATCATTCTCATCCTCAGGACGTGCGGATGGAGACATCGAGGAACCGGACAACTTTGCACACCCACATCGCAGACCCCCTAATGCACTCCTCTATGCTATCTTTGTCGGTAAGATGAACTAAGACACACGGTCCCATCCACTCGCTCCAGGAATAGACACTGACCAACGCGAAGGGTGCTTCATCGCCAGTGCGGACGAGGCGCTGATGATTTCCACCTACACCTCAATCGCCTCCGAATTCCAGCAGCTCACCCTGGGATCCTGGCTATTAGTCGCGTACAATTGCGGAAGTTGTGTTGCATGCCCCGTGGTACGGCTCCAAAATCCATACAGGGATAGCATGCCTATCAGCTAACCCGTAGCGGCGCTTTCGTAGATTGGCGCTCTGTGTGACATTTACGGTCGCAAGAAGACACTGTTGGGATCGTATGCTGTTTTTATTGCCGGTAGCTTTCTATGGTAATATCGGCTCATACGATGTCTCGTTGCTGTGATGCTAATCTTATGCAGCGGTGTCAGCGGCTCTCTGGTTACCTTGGCCGGGTCGAGGGTGATCGCTGGTGTGGGCGGCGCTGGGATGGTGGCAATGACCTCCATTGTAATCACAGGTATCGATCTTTGTCCTTTGAACTTGGGTATGCCAAAGTGGGATTGACTGGTGATTGCTCAGATTTGATTCCGCCACACGAGGTGGCATTGTATGATGGCTATTCGAGCACTATCAATATGCTTGGCCGCAGCATCGGTCCTCCCCTCGGTGGGTTTCTGACGCAGACAGTCGGCTGGCGATTGTATGTAACACCCTTCTATGTGGTGTGTACTCAGACCTAATATTTTTCAGGTCGTTTTTGGGCCAGATCCCGTTCGCCGTGTTGTGTGTTACTGTTATGATGTGGGGTGAACCAGCACCACTCGCTCACCTTGACCGCAGAGTGCATCAAGAGCCCAAGGAGTCACATAGCAAGAATATTGATTTCTCTGGTATGCTGATTCTGACACTTATGGTTGTGGCTTTGAGCGCTCTGGTAGAGTATGTGACTGCGCCTGATGCAGAGGGCCAGAATGCATTGATCATTTTCTTTCTCTTGGTGGCTACCCTGGTCGCTGGTGTTGGGTTCGCTATTGTGGAGGGATTCTACGCAACGAATCCGCTGCTACCGGTGCATCTAATGAAAGGACCGTTTGGGGCTTGGTGTCTGATGGAGCTTCTGATCTACATTGGACGTGGTGCGGTGAGTGTCCCAGAGACATTGCTCTCTATCCTAGGCAATACTGATCCACAGAATGATGGCTAGCTCTTGACGCACCTGACTCCGTATCTCATCCGTGTAGAGGGCTGGAGCGATGCTTGGGCATCTTTTGCTTTTGTTGGAAATGTCCTGGGTATCGCATCTGGAGGACTCGCGGCTGGATACGCGATAAAACGGTAGGTCGGCAGTCAGGTTCAGGCAGCGTGGAAACATTCACTGAAACTTACTCTGGGCAGATACAAGAGATATCGCAAACTCGGGATACTTTCTCACGCTCTCACCACTCTTGACTACCTTCTCATTCTTCTTGGGTGGCGCAATGGCTGCACGATCTGGCAAGCCGGCCTGCCCTCACTGCTGGGTCTGGGAACCGGGCTCATGTACACCGTCAATTTCATCGGCTTGACCACCACCTCGCCAAAGGAAAGCATGCCCGCGTGTATTGGTACGATTGAACTTTGTGAGTCGCTCGGGTTCATTGTGGGTCCTGCCATTAGCACCGCAATGATCCAGAAGATGTTTGCACATAGTCTTGCGGTGACCATGCCTAAGGTACCAGGCCTGTTCGAGGTGAGCTTTTTCCTGGCTATCACAGCATGCTGTTATTGAGTGGCTTTAACAGACAATCCATCGCATTCTCGACGACGCGCGCTTTTCCTTTACCCTTGGCAATGCCATTCAGCACATCACGCGGACCAGCTACCTGCAGGCTTTCCAATATGTACCACGTATGAGATATCCTGGATGCAAGACATCCTTTACACACTTGACGTACATCAGCAAAGCTGACAAAGTCTCTAGTCTTGGCCGCTGTTTGTAGCGGGACAGCGCTGGCTATTTTCTTACGCACCAATACTGGCGACTTGGTGAAATAACTTATGATCTGATTGTCAACTCCATGCCGATGAAAGTATCTTGATGCAGCCAACGGGGATAACAAAGCTACTCCTTTCAGTTCTGCACTGTAGTCAATATAGGAGCAATGCACAGGCCAGATCAAATGTTCCTAAGCTTTGTGTGTCGGCCGGAAGATCTCGCATGCATACTGGTCTACTGAGATCGATGTACAAAGAATGTAGTGAAGGACACCAGCAAGACAACCATCGAATCGGACATGATCGGTGTTTGTCAACTTGGGTACTATCTTCCGGTGATCGGTATGAGATAAGAGGAAATTTGATACCATGAAGAGTGTGTGTTTGGCTTAGTATCGTCGAGTTCCGTCTATAGATAATGAAACTACGACTGTTGCTCAATCCTTCTGCGCGTTCCACATCCATTGGCTTGTTCATATATAAAGCATTTCACGCAGTATGGCCAAGATGATTCATTATCTCCGTCCCACCCAGCAACCACCACAGTACAGATTGCAGCTCTACTACTGAACGGCAAACTTGAAAATTACGATATCGGCATACTTTACAATGGGTCCCTCAGCATCTCGCCTGATGGCCCAGGAGGAGGATGACGCTCCCTCGCCGAATGACGAGGAGTCGTCAGGTGCTGAGTCTGATGAGTATCAGTCCGCCCCCTCGCAGAGCGAAGACGCACCCGCTAGATTGGAGCCACAGGAGGAGCAGACCGTCCCCTCGGAGAGCGAAGGGGCTTCATTTGCATCCAAGATCAATGAAGGGAACGCACCTGGCGCGCCGAGCGATGACAGCTCTTCCATTGCTTCCGAAGACAAATTCACTATTCCCCCGTTCGAGGAAGGACAGGAATCCTCGAGCCGTACCATAGACGATCTAAACCTCAGGATTCCCCTCTGCGTGTATGGTCTCCTCCGACAGATCTTTTCCCCCGAGGAGGGCTACCAACACACACACACCACCCGGCACTCGGAGGAGATCGACTTTCAAGTGCTGCATGTGGGCCACCCTACCACAGGAGAGTTCTTTTGCCTATTGTCTGGACCCACGCCCCCGTGGGCCCCGTTCTGGTATGCGTATTCCGTCTGGCTCGTTATGGAGCTGGATATAATGGAACGCGTCACATCCCCGGAACCCCCGATTACTGGGATGATCTGGCGCGAGGGGAGATTTGGACTCTACGAACGCCGTCGGGTGGACGGAAGCATCGTCACGGCTCCAGGGACCTTCGTACATGACCGAAGGCACTCTTTTGATGCCGTCGAGGATTGGTTCTTCCTCGTGGACTTTCTCCTGCGCTTCAAGGGCGAGGTCAACTATCGTAACATCCCGACAATACCTGACGAGGCACAGAGCTAGTGGTCATCTTCACTATGGAGATCATGCCTTTACCTGTTCCAGGCGTAGGCGTAGTTGTGTGAACTCTTGCATTATTCATCTCCCGATATCAAAGTTTGTTATTCCTTGTACATGTTCGTTCAGATGAAATTTTTCATCCCAGTTCTGTGCAGGCTGCTCATCACATCGGCTACCGACACTAAACGGTATATAGTAACAGGGTCCAGGGGTTGAAGAACATTGATCGTCCAAGTGGGATACTCGGGAATCGGGTCATTCAAGCTGACAGCGACCAGGGTCAGGACCTGCAAATTCAACTGATGTCCCAATGAAAGTGCCAACCCCTCGGCTCCCCAACTACCCTCACTGCTCTATTGTCTACTCCGACAAGGCATTGTCATCTGAAGTAGACTTAGTCGGGGTCATTGACCCCGTACCGCCGCGCCCGGATAATATCGGTGATACCCGATAAGAGCCGCCAGCACTTCTTTCCCGGACATTACACCTGCTCTTCATCCAATTCACAGATACACTTCACTGACATCTTTACACCATGACCCAACCAGTTGTTAAGCCCAGAATTCCACCCGCTTGGCAAGCCAGATGCTCAGCCAAGCGTGAGGCAATCCTCTCCGCCATCCCCACAGAATGGCGCATCCGCGCTCCCATCCCCACCCCCGACATCCAACCCAACGTGACCGGCAAATATGTCCAGCAGTATCTTTCCCCACGAGAGGTTGAAATCACCGAATCCGACGCCGAGACCATCGTCTCTCACACAACAACTGGAATATGGACCGCTGTGGAAGTGACATCGGCCTTCTGCCACCGCGCCGCCGTCGCCCACCAGCTCGTTCGTCTCCTCTCCCGCGTCTCTCCCTGACCTCTTGTCCAAGTACAACCCTAACCATGAGTGAAAGGTCCCCTGCCTGCTCGAAATCTTCTTCGACCGCGCCCTGTCCACAGCAAAAGAACTAGACAGCTACTTCACCACCCACCACAAGCCCCTAGGCCGACTCCACGGTCTCCCCGTCAGCCTAAAAGACCAATTCCACATTTCGGGAGTGGAAACGACCATGGGCTACGTAGGTTGGATTGACACCTTTGAAGGCAAGCCACTCAACTCTCTCCCGCATAACGAAAGGGACACAGAAAGCGAACTGGTCCGCCTCCTCCGCACCAGCGGCGCAGTGTTCTACTGCAAGACCAGCGTCCCGACCACCCTGATGGCCGGGGAGACCTGCAACCACATCCTCGGGTACACATTCAACCCGCTCAACCGCCGCCTGTCAGCCGGGGGCAGCTCCGGTGGGGAGGGGGCATTACTGGCGCTGCGGGGCTCCGTGGTGGGGTTCGGGACCGATATCGGCGGGAGTATCCGTGTGCCCTCCGCCTTCAATGGAATCTACGGCCTACGGCCCTCGGCGGGGCGCTTGCCCTACGAGGGCGCCGCTAATTCCATGGATGGACAGAATACGGTGCTTTCTGTCGTGGGACCGATGGCGACGACTGTCCAGGGACTCAAGTTGATGGTGCAGGCGGTGCTGGCGCAGGAACCGTGGTTTGCAGATCCATTGGTGGTGGAGTTGCCCTGGCGCCATGGGGTGGAGGAGCGCGTACGGGGTGGCATTGCGGACAAGAGGCTTACTTTTGCGTTCATGGAAGATGATGGTACGGTGAGGCCTCATCTGCCAGTCCAGCGGGCGCTGGGATTGGTAAGATGGTTGTTGGAGCAAAAAGGTCACCGGGTGAGTGGGATTGCTCATGCGCTAGGGTTCATGCTTACCGATGGCTCAGGTTATCGACTGGAATCCCCCGAGTCATGCAACGGCTTTCAATATCGCAGTAGGTGCTTGGACCCAGATCACAGATGCGTAACAACGCTCACAGCGACAGATGCAAGCATGGCACATGGACGGCGGAACAGATGTCCAGGCCCACCGCGCGCTCTCCGGCGAGGCGCAGCTCCCGGAGTGCTTCTTACAGCCGAGTGAACACCTCAACGCCGCACAGGTGGCAGCCCTGAACGTCAAGAAGCGCAACTATCAGAAGGCGTACATGGACTACTGGAACTCCACGGCCACACTCACCGGGACCGGACGACCGGCCGACGCGCTGATCTGTCCGGCTTGCCCCTCGGTGGCTGTCAGACCCGGGAAGTTCAAGTGCGGGATGTATACCACGTTTGTCAATGTCCTGGACTATTGCAGTGCGGTCTTTCCGGTTACGAAGGTGGACCGCTCGGTGGACGGGGGGCACAGACCGGGTGTGCCCTTGAGTGAGATGGATGCCGAGATCCAGTCAGACTGTAGGTATCTGTCTAGTGAATATGAACGAAGTCAGCCTGCTGATGGTCACAGACGATCCTGACGACTGTCATGGCGCTCCTGTTGCGCTGCAGTTGGTGGGCCGCCGCTTCGAAGAGGAGAAGGTCTTGGGCCTGGTTGAGTATATTGACGGTCTTCTAAGTGAGGCCGCCCAGAGGATGTAGCTGTCAGGGTATTTTGATGTCGAAGTGTGGAGCTTCCTGTTCTAGTTACTGACGCTAAGAGCTTCTCAATTTGCAGTCATTGTCCTCCTCTAGGTCACTATATCTCCTTTGTATCTCATGCCAGCTGCAGGAGTGGCAATAGTATGTCTGAAAGGCGAATCTCCAGTAGTCTCCTTCCACGTTGCACAAAGCTGCTCATGTGCAACACGACAAATCTCGACTCCTCTACTGTGACCATCTGAGTAGATGGCAGTTCTCCCAGCAGCACTACTCCGCCTCCCCCTCGCCTTCCCCAGTCGATAACGCAGCATATCTCTCTTCCCCCTTCAGCCACCGCTTACGAAGACCATAGAATCCCGCCCCGATAATCCACAGCACAATCAGAATGACCGCCTGGAACGGTGCAAACACCGCCCCACGAGTCACCACAAACCCACTCACTAGTGCAAAGATAATCGGAATTCCCAGGAAGGGTTTGTAAGGCCGTTTGAGGTCCGGTTCGCGGAAGCGCAACCGGATCGCGCCGACCACCGTCAAGAAGAAGAACGAGTATTCTCCCAAACCGTTAAAGGTAAGCAGAGCTCGGAAGTTGCCGAAGAGGATATAGAAGATTGGCAAGATGGTCGAGAGGACGATCGCGTTGATAGGTGCATCGGAGCTGAGGGTTTGGTTCGAGTGGGAGGGCCGTCCCAGCTGACCGATAACCCCCAGTAGTTGCGGCAGCCAGTTCCTGTTGGCAGCTGCAACCACCATGCGACCCGCGACAAAGGAGTTGCCCAGTAGGGATCCAGCGACGACAAGACAGATCAAGATCGCGGCGATGATGCCGGCTGCGGGGCCGAGAAGATGAGTTATAGCGGTCTGGCCTCGTTAGCTGCGCGCACGAAAAGAGACAGAAGGTTTAAAACGTACAACAGCCACACTGTCCGTCGTGGATACCACGTTCCACGGCAGGAGAATATAGTATGCCGCATTGGCGGCGATGAAGCAGAGAATGATGAGGGGGACGGCGGAGTTGATAGCCAAGGGAAGTTGGCGCGCCGGAGCGGACAGTTCTGCGCTGATGTAGATGGCCTACAAATTGTCAACACCTCCGCCAAAAGGGTGACGCTCTCACAAAGTGCCTTACCTTATCCCAGCCAGAATAAGCCCACAGTGCACCGTACAAGGCAGTCGAGTAGTACCCCAGCATTTCCCACCCAGCAACGTCATGCCAGTCAATCAGCTTTCCATCCGGAGTGACCGTGTTGCGATAGCCGAACCAGGGATTCTGGAACCAGTCTCGAGACCCATGGGCACCGTCGGACTTGGCCAGATGGGCGACGACAACACCCAGTCCCGCCACCACTACCGCAGCGATGGTGACGAACTTGGTGCTGACGAAGAACCCATTGAGCCGCGTGCTGACCTTGGTGCTGATGGAATTCGCCACGCTGACCACGATAAGGATCAGAATCGACAGCAACTTGTGCGACAGTGCCGCAGCCTGGTCGGTCACACCTGCGGCCGAGTAAATGCTCTCAACGAAGACGATGCTGAGAATGGCCAAGGTGGCCGGCATGACGGCAATGATCCACGTCCAGGCGGCCAGAAAGCCACAGAGGTCACCGAAGATATACTGCAGATACGGCTGCACACCACCTGGATCGCATCTGGTCAGCGATTGACAAACAAAAGACTGGGGTTACAATGTAGTTGGTGGATGTGGGTACCTTCACCAGGAATGGCAGTGCCCAGTTCAGCCATAGTCGTAGCGCCGGTCCAGGCGAGGATCCCACCCACTAGCCATACCACGAGAGCCACTCCGGGCGAAGGCACATTAGTATCAATCGATCCCGGCGAAGTAAAGATGCCACTTCCGATCACGATGCTGATGATGATACCGAAAGCTTCGATGGTGCCTAGGTTCCGCTTGAATGCACCGGGGCGGTGATCTTCCACGGTCGCAACTTCTTGGGCAGTGGCCGCATAGCTTCTCTCATCTGGCTGAGTGAGTAGCGGCTGGGCGGCTCCCTCCAGAGCGTCGTTGGTAGGAGGCATGTTTGCGATGATTGTTTTGGGTGGTGGAAGGATGATGATGATCAGCAGAGAAACAAATGAAGGAGTCGGTCACCCCGATGCGATCACGCCATCAGACGCGCAGATTGATGCTGCCTCTGCGCTGCCTCTTTCCCCGCACTTAACCTCCCTGTCGAGATCGAAGTCGAACGGGAATCAGGAAAGGCCGTTGGCTGTGCCCGCAGGATTGTCACTAGATCTCTCCGGGTCATGTTGGGAGAATAAGTAAGGTAGAGACGCTGGTTGGATTGATGTTCCAAAGCTATCGTCGCTGACCGCCTGCCATGTGACATGTGACTTCTCTCTTATCAGTTCCAAGTACGGAGTAGAGAGTCATATGACCGCCCGTGGTGCCTCAGGCAGGAGTACCCTGCTCTTACTTCCTAATCCATGATTATGGATTAGGAAGCTGGCCAGACTCTGCTTCTACCATAAGCGGCTGCAAGTGGTGTCCCCGTACCATGGATGGGTC